GTTTTAAGTAAAATTTTCTCTTATTTGATTCGGCCTGATTCTATTTTTGTCAGTTGGTCCGTAAATGGTCCGTAATTTTTAATTTTTGCTCCGTAAAGTCCGTATTTTTGAATACTTTCACTGCTTCGAGCCCTGGTCTGTACTTTTTACTACTTTTTTTAGTCTTAAAGTTACTTTTTCCTATTTTTTTAAAAGTAATTATCAAGTGCAAAGCCTTAGCTTCAGAAAAAATTTTTCTCGAATAAACTTAATAAACGGTAACTTCCGTTTCATAATATATATGTAAAAAGCCTAAATTAAAAAAATAAACATTAAATAAAAGTAATAAATTGAAATTATTAGTTGGAATTAAGGGAAAATGAAATAGTAGGTACATGTGAATGTTAATCGATGATTATGTTATCAGATTATAGTTATGGATGATCCCACCCGCTTCCTCCTTTTCACCCTTGTGTGATACAATTCACCGGTCTATACTTGGTACGCGTGCGCTTTAACAAAATATCCGTGACATCAGATTTCACCCCCCCCCCCACCCCCCTCTCCTCTCGACACATTCAACTGTAAAAGAGGGCTCAAGTTTGGCAACTTATTCCCGTCCAGGGCTCAATTCGCTCGACCTGACCTCTCGCACTTCATCATCCGTCGATAATGTCGTACTTTCTTCACTTGTTCATTAAACACAATAGAATTTAGTTACGAAATTCTTTGAAACAAATAAAAAATAATAAATTTCGATCGATTTATAATTTTTTTGTTTTTTCTATATAGTAAAGTGGGTTTTGGTTAAAGAACTGTTCCGGCAGATGAATAGGGCGAGAACTAATCGTTGAGAGTTGGTAAGAGGAAGAAGAAGAAGTGAGTGAGAGAAGACAATATAAACAAGTCTGGAATAGCCATAGGGACGATGGCAAAAGCCACAATCAATAGAGTTTCGAGGGATAGACAGGGATGGAATGGGATAGGTTTCTCTCAACACAAGCACAACCGCCGTCATCGTCACCCGACCCCGTATTGAGCTTTGCGGCGCTTGCGTGACTCCTGCTTTGCTCTTGCTTGTTGCCGACCTCCCCACCTCTTCTTTTTTTTCCTTTAAATCCGCTCGACGCGACCACGACGCTTTCGATTCGATTGAGGATTCAGACTAGGTTTCTGCGTTTGTTTGCGTGCGTCAACCGTTATTGCAAATAACTACACCACCACCATACCACCACCCACTCCCTTCTTCTGCCTATACAATATGCCCATCAATAACTCGTTCCGTTATCTTTCGCTAATTCAATTATTAACAGCTACCGAATTCCCGCACTACTCGCCTTTTTGCATTCAAATTCTTCATATTTTCTACTTTTTAAATTCTTGACAGTTACTTTCTTTTTTCTTGATACATTATATTTCACCTAAAGCAGGGAAACTCGAATTGGGTGGGTAAATTTGCTTAAAGTCCGGAAAAGTCAGTTTTAAAAAAAAAAAAAAAAAGATCCGCAATTTGATTGAGAAAAGACGAAAAAATCGTAAATTCTACGATATAATTTGGAGAATTTTAGAGAACTTAAAAAAAATACAATTATTTTCAAAAGTAATAAAATTCTTCGCAGAAATTCAATAATTTAAAAAAAATTTAACGAATATCTCGTCAAGAATTCAATTATCTTTGCAAGTAGCAAAATTTTTCGCCAAAAAATTCAATATATTCGAAAATTTCAATTATGTTGAAAAGTTTTCACAATTCAAAAAATTTTCAATAGTCACAATTTTCATAAAATTTAACAAAGATTTAATTATTGAAAAAACTTGTTGATACAATTCTACGAAAAGATTCAATTATTTTCATAAATGATAAAATTTCATTTCGGAATTCAATTATTTTCATTGCAGAATTTCAAATATTTTTAATAAAATTTTAAATAAATTCCTCGAAAAATGCAATTCTTTTTAGAAAATTTTATAAAAACTTAACGAAATAATTCAATTTTTGATAAACATTCAATTATTCCAAAAAATAATAAAATTAAAAATAATACAATTTGTTGCAATAATTCAAATATTTTCATAAATAACTTTTAATTCGTCGGAGAAAATCAAATATTTATTTAATTTAAAAAAATTTTCAAGTAATTCTGCAAAAGAATTCAATTATCTTGATAACCAACAAAATTCTCCCCATAAAATCAATTATTTTAAGGATTTTTAATTAAATTCTTTTCCAAAATTCAATTATTTTGATAAATATCAAAATTCTTCTCAAGAATTTAATTATTGTCAAAAATTTTAATTAAATTCTTGGCAAAATTTCAATTCTTTTTATAAATAGCAAAATTTTTCGCCAAAAATTCAATTATTTTCAAAAATTTTAATAAAATTGTTTGCAACATTTCAATTATTTTTAAAAGTTTTTCACAATTCAATGTTTTTAAATATTTTCTATTTTCATAAAATTTATCAACAGATTTAATTATAGAAAAAACTTGTTGATACAATTCTACGAAAAGATTCAATTATTTTCATAAATAATAAAATTTCATTTACGAATTCAATTATTTTCATCGCAGAATTTCAAATATTTTTAATACAATTTAAAATAAATTCCTTGAAAAATGCAATTATTATTAAAAATTTTATTAAAACTTGAGGAAAGAATTAAATTTTAAGAAACATTCAATTACTCAATAAAACAATAAAATTCGTAGCAATAATTCAAATATTTTCATAAATAACATTTAATTCGTCGCAGAAAATCAATTATTTTCAAAAAATTTGAAGTAATTTTGCAAAATAATTCAATTTGCTTGATAAACAACAAAATCGCATAAATTCTTCCCATAAATTAATTATTCTAAGGAATTTTAATAAAATTCTTTTCCAAAATTCAATTATTTTGATAACCACCAAATTCTCCTTATAAAATCAATTATTTCAAGGAATTTTAATAAAAATTTTTTCCAAAATTCAATTATTTTGATAAACATCAAAATTCTTCTTAAGAATTCAATTATTGTCAGAAATTTTAGTTAAATTCTTGGCAAAATTTCAATTATTTAAACAAAATTTAATAAAATACTTTGCACGAATTCAATTATTTTTATAAATTTTAATGAATATCTCGTCGAGAATTCAATTATTTTTATAAATAGCAAAATTGTTCGACATAAATTCAATTATTTTCAGAAATTTTTAAGTAATTTTGCAAAATAATTCAATTAGCTTGATAAACAACAAAATCGCATAAATTCTCCCCATAAAATCAATTATTCTAAGGAATTTTAATAAAATTCTTTTCCTTGAAAAATGCAATTATTATTAAAAAGTTTATTAAAACTCGAGGAAAGAATTCAATTTTTAATAAACATTCAATTATTTCAAAAAATAATAAAATCCATTGCAATAATTCGAATATTTTCATAAATAACTTTTAATTCGTTGCAGAAAATCAATTATTTATGTATTTATTTTCAAAAATTTTTAAGTAATTCTGCAAAAGAATTCAATTATCTTGATAACCAACAAAATTCTCCCCATAAAATCAATTATTTTAAGGATTTTTAATTAAATTCTTCTCCATAATTCAATGATTCTTAATATCTACTATTTTATTAAAATTTTCCAAAAAAATTTAATTATTTAAAAAAAAATTTAATAAAATTCTACGCAAACATTTAATTATTTTCATAAAATAATAAAAATTTCACAGGAGTTCAATTATTTACAAATTTTTTTATAAATTTCTTCCCGATAATTCAATTATTTTTATAAATAATAAAATTTATTCAGGGATTCAATTATTTTCGTACATAATAAAATTCTTTTTAGGAATTTAAATTTTTCCATAAACTAATAATCTCATTGCAGAATTTCAATTATAATTATAATTATATAATCATAATTCAATTATAATTTAAAATTTTTAGAAAATCTATTTGAAATTAAACAACTCATAAAGAATTGTTATGAAACATGAAGAAATCGATCATTCAGAGTCTTCGACTCGGAGCAATCGATGTCTTTTTGTTTTATAATAATTAAAGATGACCAAGTGATAAAATCATTATTTTATATTATAAGACTTTATAATAAAAAAAAATTTTTAATTATTTTTTATGAAAATAATTGAATTATTGAGAAGAAATTTATAAAACATTAGTAAGTGTAATTGGATTTTGAAGAAGAATTTTGATTTTTACAAAGATAATTGAAATTTTGAGGAGAATTTTAAAAAGAATTTTGAAAATAATTGAATTTCTAGGATGAATTTTATTATTTATTAAGATAATTGAAATTTTGAACAGATTTTTTAAAAAAAATGTTTAAAAGTAATTGAATTTTGCAGAAGAATTTTGATATTTATAAAGATAATTGAAATTTTGAGGAGAATTTAAAAGAAAAAATTTGAAAATAATTGAATTTCTGCGAAGAATTTTCTTACTTTTGAAGATAATTGAATTTTGCAAAGAATTTTATTAGAACTTTTGAAAATAATTAAATTTCCATGATGAATTTTATTATTTATGTAGATAATGATAATTTTGACGAGGGATTAAAAAAAATTTTTTTAAATAATTGAATTTCTGCGAAGAATTTTATTAATTTTGAAAATAATTGAATTTCTAGGATGAATTTTATTATTTATAAAGTTAATTGAAATTTTGAGAAGAATGTTATTAACATTCTTTGCAAATAATTGAATTTCAGAGAAGAATTTTGATATTATGAATATTTATATAGACAAATTAAAATTTATCTGATTTATTATTTCTTTGAATTATAATTGATGACAAGTTGGAAACCCAAGAACTTAAAAATAATTGAATTATTTTAATTAAAATTACAAATTTCTGTTTGAATAGAAATCTATTAGGAAAGAAAATTAATTCGTAGAATTATTAATTATAATAAACTTTTCTGATACCGAACAAAAATTAAAATTCAAAAGAAACTGATTTGCATTGATTAAAAAGAAATGGGGAAAAAGAGGCTAAAATTATTTTTGCTTTCTGTTTCAGAGTCTCTGAGGGATTATAATGGACTTTCAGCGGATTTGTACAAACCGTCGAACTATGATAAACTCGCCCTCTCTCTGTTGTCGCCCCTTCCAAATGAGCAGGATTTCGCAATAAATGTTTGCACCCTGTTGTCGAACGAAGGCAAGCACACATTGCGTCTCGACAAATATCCCCGGCTTGTAAATATACTTTTGGCACATGCCGGCGTTTTTGATTGCTTGGGAACGCGTCAACTCTTCATTGAGGTCTATTCGAAAGTGAGAAATTATTCGATCAATTCCTTCTGGTCGGACGTACTCGACTCTCAGGATGTTATCGACTTAACTGACGAGAGGATCTTCCTCAAAAAACCATCGCCAACGCTAAACACATTTTCAAGGCGAAGAAATTTAAAGAAGGAAAAAGCGAACAAAACTCAGGAGAACCAAGAAGAATCTTCAACTCCCGCCGAGCCCGTTACGGTAATTATTTTTTTTCTTAGAAATTAATAACAAACATTTGTATAATTTCTATTTCTTCATTATGATTTTTTAACAAAAGTATTTTTTTAGAAAAAGTTAAAAACTTTGCATAATTTCTATTTTTTAATCATTATTTTCTAACAAAACCTACAGTTTTTTTTTTTTTTTTTTTGAGAAATACTTTAAAAGAAATAAAAGTTTGTTTTATTTTGTATGAAGAAAATCCAACTGAATGTGAAATTTTTGTTTTAGCAGGAGATATCGGAGTGCGTTCGATTAATAAGCCAATCAGAAGAGACGCTCAGGGATCAGAATCAGAATTCGATAAAATTCGAGGAGGAGGACCATGAACTGTTTTGCGTTGGCCGAACACTTGGCACGCAAGATCCCTATGGACAACGTGTTCTTCAAATAGCATCGATCCTGAGGAATTTGAGTTTCACTGCTGAGAATGCCGCCGTATTGGGACGAAATCGATGCTTTCTGAGATTTGTCCTTCTCTGCATTAGATCGAGGTGGAGTAATCTTCATCAATTGGGCTTTGATACTTTTGGCAATGTTGCCAATGAGATTATTCTTAATGAAGCCGGACCAAGAATATGTGACGTTGCAATTACATGCGTGACGAGTGGCATCGATTCTCAAGACAGGTTCATCGTCATTGCCTGTCTCGAGATCCTCAACAAAATCAGTCAGCAGGACTGCAATGAGGATACACTCACTTCAGAATTGAATGATCATGTTTACGAACTCATTTGCAGGTAATTTTTACAAAACTTTCTTTTTATTTTTTCCAGGCATCACAGTTGGTCCCCTTTTCCCCTTTTGTCCGCTTATTTCAATTGAGGCCTTGGATCCAATAACTCGCCCGACGCTCGAAGGCACGCGCTAATACCAGTCGGGTAGCAGTGAGTGGCCCAGAGGCGCTCACTGCTCACTGACTGGCAGTTGCGCGTTCCTCCGAGCGTCGGGCGAGTTATTGGATCCAAGGCCTCAATTTTATCCTCTTTTTTACCTTTTTTCACGATTTGTCACCTTTTTCACCTTTTTACAATCAAAAATAAACAAGTTTTTCTTTTTTTGAAATTTTTTTCAAAGTGTAATCATAAAATTTAGACTCAAAATTATAGAATTCAGTGCGTTTTATATCTGATTTAGATTATTAACACCACAACATAATATAAATATGTTTTTTTATGTTAATAATTTAAATAATATAGACATCGTATAAAGAATTTTATAAATTATAAGGTGGTTCATTCAACAGAATGCAGACCTTTGGAAAAATAATTAATTAACATTCAAATAATTCAAATATTATTATTAATAGTTTTTTCTAGAAAAAAACAAAAATTCTAATATAAAACCTTCAATTTTTTCCATTTCTGACAATAATTTCTTTTTAAATAACTTAATTCTAGAAGAACTATCATAAAATTATAACTTGGAAATTATTTAATGAATAATTTTATTTATACATTTCAACATTAATTGAATTTTAAAATAGTTTCGTTTACAATTTTCATAAATAGATGAACTTGAAAAGATTTTAGCTTCAAATTTTATAAAATTTCAATTTTTTATGAATTTTATTATAAATTCTAAAGAACTTACATTTTTGCGAAAATTTTCAAAATTTAAATAATTTTAAAATTAGTTAAATTTTTTAATATATATATTTAATTAATTAGTAAAAATAATAAATTTATCGAGGAATTTTAGTTAAAAACACTAAAAAAAATTTTAATTTTGGAGAAGTTTCAAACAATTGCAAAAATTCAATTATTTTAAAAAATAATAAAATTCTTCGCAGAAATTCAATTATTTTCAAAAATTTTAATAAAATTCTATGCAAAATTTAATTATTTTGATAATTAGCAATATTCGTCAAACGAATTCAACTATTTTCGAAAGTATTAAAACTCTTAGCGAAAATCAATTTTTTTTAGAAATTTTAATAAAATTCTACGGAAAATTCAATTATTTTTAAAATATTTAATAAATTATTCGCAAAATTTCAATTATTTTTAAAAATTTTCCTCAATTCAATGATTTTTTAATATCTAGTATTTTAATAAAATTTTCAAAAAGAATTCAATTATTTAAAAAAATTTAAATAAAATTCTACGCAAACAATTAATTATTTCCAGAAAATAATAAAAATTTCACAGAAATTTAATTATTTACAAATTTTTTAAATAAATTTCTTCGCAATAATTCAATTATTTTCATAAATAATATAATTTTTGCAGAGATTTAACTATTTTCGTAAATAATACAATTCTTTTTAGGAATTCAATCATTTTTATAACAATAATAAAACTCATTGCAGAATTTCAATTATTTTTAAAACAATTTTAATCAAATCCATTCAAAAATGTAATTACATATTTTTAAAAATTTCATTAAAATTCGTCGAAAGAATTTAATTATTTAAAAATTTGTTGATAACATTTTTTATGAGAATTCAATATTAAGAAACATTCAATTATTCAATATAAATTCTTTATTTTTTTATTTAAATAATTGAATTCTAGTAGAGTTTTCTAATAAAAATTAATTTAAAAATGGATTTCAGTTAAAATTTTCGATTATAATTAAATATTAAAAGCATTATAGCGTGAATTTTTAGAAATAATTGAATTTTGAAAAAATTTCAAATTGAAAACTTTGAAAATCTGAATTTTTCATATTTTTAACCCCTTGACTGTGGATGACGTGTATACACGTCATGAAAAAAACTGGCCCAAACAGTGGATGACGTGTATACACGTCATGGCCCAAACAAGAAAACAACTTAACGTGTATTCGCAAAAATTCTTAATCGGGGGTTTTTGAGGTCGCTGATCACAATTCTGAAGTCATATTTTCGAAATACATAATTTTCCATCTAAAATGGCCGTCAAAAATTTTAAAAATTTCAAAAGTGGATAAATTCCTTTAAAAATTCTTATTCGGGTGTTTTTGGGGTCGCTGATCACGATTCTGAAGTAAGATTTTCAAAATAAATAATTTTTCATACAAAATGGAGGCAAAAATTTTGAAAAATTTCAAAAGTGGGTAAATTCTTACCATTTAAACTATGAAAAACTAATAACAGATTCGTAATCAGGGATCCCAAAAACCCCCGAATAACGAATTTTAAGCGTATCCAATGAACAATCGTGTCCGCCATTTTGAATTTTAAAATACTAATGTCATATTCGTAATCAGCGACCACGAAAACCCCCGAGTAACGAATTTTAAGCGAATCCAATGAATTTTTCAAAATTGTGTCCGCCATTTTGGATCCGCCTTTTTGAATTTTAAAAAACTAATGTCATATTCGTAATCAGCGACCACGAAAACCCCCGAGTAACGAATTTTAAGCGAATCCAATAAATTTTTTAAAATCGTGTCCGCCATATTGGATCCGCCATTTTGAATTTTTGAAAAATAACTCCGGAATCGTAATCAGCGACCCCAAAAACGCCTTAGTACCTAGTGTCATGAATATTTATTCACAAGAAGGTCTTACACATTTTGGGACCATTTTGTTATATTTTAGCTACACACTGAAGGGGTTAACTAACAATTCTGTAGGCTTAATTTTTTGAAAATTCTCGTTAAAATTTCAATTATCTTTAGATAATTAAAAATTATAAATAATTGTAAATAATACAATTCTTCTCCAAAGTTCAATTATTTTCAAAAATTTTAATAAAATTCTTTGCAAAATTTCAATAATTTTTAAAAATTTCCCTTAATTCAATGATTTTCAATATATAGTATTATAATATAAAATTTTTTAAAAGAAAATTTTTCGAAAGAATTCAATTATCTTCGTAAATTAACAAAATTCTTCTCAGAAATTCCATTGGACTTTTAATAAAATTCTATGCAAAATTTAATTATTTTCATAATTAACAATATTCATCAAACGAATACAACTATTTTCGAAAGTATTAAAATTCTTAGCGAAAAATCAATTATTTTTAGAAATTTTAATAAAATTCTATGGAAAATTCAATTATTTTCAGAAAATTTAATAAAATTATTGGCAAAATTTCAATTATTTTCAAAAAATTTCCCTCAATTCAATGATTTTTAATATCTAGTATTTTAATAAAATTTTCCAAAAGAATTGAATTACCTATTTAAAAAAATTTAAATAAAATTCCATAATTAAATGTTTAATTTCAATTTTTGATCATCACTATTATTTTAAAAAACTTGAAAGAAATTGTCCATAAAATTTAATTATTTTCAAAATTTTTAATTAAGATTATTAAAGAAACTCCATTATTTAAAAATAAATCGAAGAGATTCTTCAAAAAGAATTTAATTTCGAATTTTCCAGAATTTTAACAAAATTCTTCGCGAGAATTCAATTTTTTCCTAAATAATAAAATTTCTTCGAAGGAATTCTATTATTATCAAATTTTGATAAAATTGTTTGCAGCAATTCTATGATTTTCAATATATTTATTTTAAAATTGAAAATATTTAAAAAGAAAAATTATTTTAAAAAGTTGAGAAGCAAGAAAGCAAACAACAACTAACTTCAAACTGCGAACAGATTATCGGAATACAACGATTATTAATATATAAAAGAAGATAATTGATTTAAAGAAGAGTTTTAGTTGAAAATTCTAGAAAATAATAATTGAATAGAAATGATGATAATAATTTTGAAGGAGTTATAGTAAAAATATTCTTGTAATATAAAATAATAATTTTATCACTGAGCCATCTTTAATAATTATTATAAAATATGAAGATATCGATTACTCCGAGTCGAAGACTCGGAGCAATTGATATCTTCATGTTTTATTTTTATGAAAAAATTTAATTGTAGTTTTAAGTAAAATGTTCTTTTATTTGATTTGGACTGGTTATATTTTTGTCAATAAAATTGATCCGTAATTTTTCATTTTTGGTTTAAAAAGTAAAATTTTTAACTTTATTCAGGGCTCGAACCAGTTAAAGTATTCAAAAATACGGATTTTTGAATACTTTCACTTTCACTGGTTCGAGCCCTGAATAAAGTTAAAAATTTTCATTTCAGTAATAGAGATTGTAATTTGTAATATAGATTTTAATGTTGTTTCTCTTTTTTTCCCACAGATTCCTTGCACTGAGCGACATTGCTCTACTGGTTTACACATTGGAATGTCTCTATGCGCTAACTTCCTTGGGTGAGAAACCCTGCACGAGCGTCGCGCGGGTTCGCGGTGCTATTGACACTTTGGTGGCTCTAGTGACAGTGGAGGCGCAAAGTTACGGACCGAAAGCATGCATCCTGATGAGGGTCGTGGAGACTGTCTCGACGATTCCCACGTCCGCGGCTCCCGCCTCTGGATCGAGTACAACGCCGGCTTCGACATCATCAACACCGGCCACAACGTCGGTGGTTTCTGTCTCGACACCCACGCCGATAACGGCCACACTGAATCCGTCGCCGTCGGCGAGTCCCGTGCCTGTGCCAGTGCCGGTAGCGGTGGCCGTCACGGCACCCGCGCCAACGCCAGCGCTACTCTCCACACCACTCAGTCCAGCGCCGTCGAGACCGTCGACGCCGGCCGCCTCTGTCGTCACTGCTCCTGCAGCCGTCGTCGTTGCGCCCGCACCTTCTACTCCCGTCACTCCTGTCAAAACAATGACGCACAGTAAGAATACCTTTTATCACTGAGACGATAATATTTTTCACTCCACACCACTGCACACTGATCTGAAAATGGAATTTAGTGTTCAAAATCGGCTGCAGTTCTTCAAATCTTTGTACCGAGAAAGACTTCTACTTCTACACTGGTTTACAGTGAAATCGAACAAAATATTCTCTTTCGATTAGTAACTGTTTTTTTTTTTGAGTAAAACAATCAGAGTCTTAATTTTTCTCCCTAGTGCAGTTTTGCTGTACAGGCTTCACAGTCTGTCCCCTATTTCCCTGAAAGTCTCCTTTTTAATTTTGGCCCCTAAACGTACCCTATTTTGAAAATTTCCCCTATTTTTTTCGTCGCAGGAAATCAATTATTTTCAATAATTTTTAAGTAATTCTGCAAAAGAATTCAATTATCTTGATAACCAACAAAATTCTCCCCATAAAATCAATTATTTTAAGGAATTTTAATGAAATTCTTTTCCAAAATTCAATTATTTTGATAAATATCAAAATTCTTCTCAAGACTTCAATTATTGTTAAAAGTTTTAATTGAATTCTTGGGAAAATATCAATTATTTAAACAAAATTGAATAAAATACTTTGCACGAATTCAATTATTTTTATAAATTTTAATGAATATCTCGTCAAGAATTCAATTATTTTTATAAAAAGCAAAATTTTTCGCCAAAAATTCAATTATTTTCAAAAATTTAAATAAAATTCTTTCCAACATTTCAATTATTTTTAAAAGTTTTAAAAGTTTTTTTAAATAAATTCCTTGAAAAATGCAATTATTATTAAAAATTTTATTAAAACTTGACGAAAGAATTCAATTTTAAGAAACATTCAATTATTCAATAAAACAATAAAATTCGTTGCAAAAATTCAAATATTTTCATAAATAACATTTACTTCGTCGCAGAAAATAAATTATTTTCAGAAATTTTTAAGTAATTTTGCAATATAAATTCAATATATAATTCAATTAGCTTGATAAACAACAAAATCGCAAAATTCGTTGCAATAATTCAAATATTTTCATAAATAACTTTTAATTCGTCGCAGAAAATCAATTATTTATTTATTTTCAAAAATTTTTTAAGTAATTCTGCAAAAGAATTAAATTATTTTGATAAAAAACAAAATTCTTCAAATAAAATCAATTATTTTAAGGATTTTTAATGAAATTCTTTTCCAAAATTCAATTATTTTGATAAATATCAAAATTCTCCTCAAGAATTCAATTATTGTTAAAAATTTTAATTAAATTCTTGGCGAAATTTCAATTATTTAAACAAAACTGAATAAAATACTTTGCACGAATTCAATTATTTTTATAAATTTTAATGAATATCTCGTCAAGAATTCAATTATTTTTATAAATAGCAAAATTTTTCGCCAAAGATTCAATTATTTTCAAAAATTTAAATAAAATTCTTTGCAACATTTCAATTATTTTTAAATTGTTTTCGCAATTCAATGTTTTTAAATATTTACTATTTTCATAAAATTTATCAACAGATTTAATTATAGAAAAAACTTGTTGATACAATTCTACGAAAAGATTCAATATTATTTTCATAATTAATCAAATTTCATTTACGAATTTAATTATTTTCATCGCAGAATTTCAAATATTTTTAATACAATTTTAAACAAATTCCTTGAAAAATGCAATTGTTATTAAAAATGTTATTAAAACTTGAGGAAAGAATTCAATTTTAAGAAACATTCAATTATTCAATAAAACAATGAAATTCGTTGCAATAATTCAAATATTTTCATAAATATCATTTAATTCGTCGCAGAAAATCAATTATTTTCAAAAATTTTTAAATAATTTTGCAAAAGAATTCAATTAGCTTGATAAACAACAAAATCGCATTAATTCTTCCCATAAAATAAATTATTCTAAGGAATTTTAATAAAATTCTTTTCCAAAATTCAATTATTTTGTTAATTATCAATATTTATCAGAAGAATTAAATTCTTTTGAAAAGTAATAAAATACTTTGCAGAAATTAAATTATTTTCAAATTTTTTTAAAAATTCTCGTCAAGAATTCAATTATCTTTATAAATAGATAGGGAAATTCTTCTTAAAAATTAAATTATTGGCAAAAAATTTTGTTTAAACTTCTTCTCAAGAAGTCAATTATTTTCAAAAATTTTAATAAAATTCTTCTCATGAATTCAATTGTTTTCAAAAATTATTATTTAAATTCTTCTCAGGAATTCAATTACTTTTAAAAAATTTAATAAAATTCTTCAAAAAGTTTTCAATTATTTTCAAAAATTGTTATAAAATTCTTTAATATAATAAATTTCATTAAAATTTTAATTAAATTCCTTAAAAAAATTAAATATTTTCAAAAGTTGTTACAATTCTTCGTAAAAATTAAACTTTAAGAAACATTCAATATTATTTATTTTTGTATTTAAATAATTGATTTCTCGTAGAATTAAATTATTGTTTTTCGTACTTTTAACTAAAAATTCTGAAGAATTAATTTTTTTGAAAAAGTTTAATTGAATAATAATTGAGGTTATTGATTTAAAGTAGAATTTTAGTTAAAAATTCTAGAAAATGTTAATTGAATTGAAATGATACAAATAATTTTGCAGAAATTACATTAACAATATTCTTATAATAATAAACTAATGATTTTGTCAGTCGGTCATCTTTAATTATTATAAAACAAAAGGAAATGGATCATTTTCTTTATGTTTTATAATAATATTCTTATGAGTTGTTCATTTTGAAAAGATTTGAATTTGAAATTTTTGAACATCTTAATTCCAATGAAAAATATGATTAAATATTTATTTTAAATAAAACTATTGACGTTTTCGAATAATTTTACTTTTGAAGAAATTTGTAAATAAATTTAATAGAACATTTTTTTGAGTATCTAATAATTTTGAGAGTGAATGAGAATATTCTTCAGGGTCAGGGAAAAAGTGAAAGTTGTGTTTGGAAGTCAGGGAAAAATAAAGTTAAATTTTTGTGGCAACCCTGTATAAATAAATTATATTTAATTATCTTTATTTTACCAATTCTTATGGTTCCCTAAAAGTCCCCTATTTTTTAATTTTCAGTCCCCTATTTCCCCTAAACTACTTTTTAGGGGCACTGTGAAGCCAGGCTTTAGCAGCAATCTTTGATGTCACATAAATTTACCTATAGAAAAATTAGATAGTCAAAATATAATGACTAAGGTGCAATTCGAAAGGTAATTAAATTATCTTTCGATCTATTTTTGGTCATGAAATAAAATTCAACAGAAATTGAGAAAGTTACAATCGATTAAAGATCAAATTTCTTCTGAAGAGTAATTTTTTCTACATCAAACAGTCAAAAATGTTTAGGTTTTAAATTTTTTATTGATAGTCTATTTCATAACCAGAATTTTGAGCCATTATGGACCTCGATTGGATTAAAAATGACAATTCTGGACTATATTTCGTGAACGACTCCAGAAACCCTTAATTAGTGATTTTAACTTTAGAGCTTAAATTAATTTACAGTTTTCATTTTTGCTGCAAATGTTGAAGGGATACTAAAAAGGAAAAAGTAGTTTCGTTCACTGAATCTGGTGTAGAATATTAATTTTTAATCCGATCGAAGTCCACATGGGCTCAAAATTTTCATAATGAAATAGACTATCAGTAAAAAATTTAAAACCTAAACTTTTTTCACACAGAGAAAAATATATAATAACTTTTACTTACTTTGATAGTAAAAGCTAAACTTTCGGAAACTTTTCCTCATTTCTGGTAACTTTTACTACTTTCGATGTAAATTTTGCTACGTTCAAAGTAAATTTTACTACGTTCGAAGAACATGTTTGTAAAAAAATTAGTAAAATTTACTTCGAACGTAGCAAAATTTACTCCGAAAGTAGTCGAAGTTACCAGAAATGAGCAGAATTTTCTGACAGTTTAGGTTTTACTGTTTGAAAGTAGTAAAAGTTAATTTTATATTTTTCTCCGTGTACTGTTTGATGTGGAAAAAATTAGCAGAAGTTACTCAAGTGTCTAAAAATCATCAAAATTTTCATGAAAGATCTTTAATCGACAGCAGGCTTCGCACTCGAAAATTACTTTTAAAATAGTAGGAAAAAGTAGCTTTAGGACTGAAAAAAGTAGTAAAAAGTAGCTATTGGGAAATTAAATTTGACGATTAAAAAAAACTAGATAAAATCGATTCACAAAAATTTGATTCAGTATTTCCGACTTTTGGAAAATAATAAATAATTAATTTTTTATGTTAAAGATTTAAATATTATTACAGTTTTACAAAAATCAAATCCTATTTCAAAGACAAACCATTTTAAAATCTTACGAAATTTAATTATTTCTAAAAATTCATATTATAACGCTTCTAATATTCAATTTTTTCTTAAATTCATTTTTATTTTAGTTCTTGTTAAAAAATTCTAGGAGAATTAAATTATTTAAATACAAAAGAAAATAATTGATTGAATAATTGATTATTTCTTAAAATTGAATGTTTATAAAGTACTTTATCAAAATTTAAAAAAGTATCTAATTACATTCTTTGAGGAATTTATTTTAAATTTTCAACAAATTTGATGAAAATTGTATTTTAAATAATTAAAAATTTGTGAAAATATTATTTATGAAAATAATTGGAATTTTTGCAAAGAATTTTATTAAAATTTTTTTTAAATAATTCAATTCTTTTGTGAAATTTTATTAAAATTGTAGATATTGGAAATAATTTAATTTCAGCAAAGAATTTCGTTATTTGGAAAAATAATTAAATTCTTGAAAAAAAAATGTTCTTAAAATTTTGAAAAATAATTGAATTGTTTCAAAGAATTTTATTAAAATTTTCGAGAATAATTTATTTATTTCAATAATAATTAATTAATTTTTGAATAATTTTAATTGCAAATTTTGAAAATAATTGAGTTTTAAAAGAGTAGTAGTTGAAATTTTTAGAAACTATTCCAATTTACTAATTGTAGAAAAATGTGCTTTGTTTTAGAAGCTATTGAAACTGCGAGTCCAGTTCAACCACAAAATACGCATCAACAAATAATACAAGAAAACGAACAATTTGCTCTTTTATGGTTAAGAACGACCTTTGAACTTGCTCCAGGCGTACGCATTGAACAGGAGGAACTCTATAAAAAATATCTTGGCTTCTGCACAAAATCTGGTAGAAGAGGTGTCATTGCTCCCTTACATTTTCCACGATGTGTTAGGTATTGTATAAGACAAACATTCATTTTTACAAAATATTCATTTTCTGTTAGCTGTTTGATCAAAACATATTGATTTTTATTTTATTTTTTAAACGTACAATTACTTTTGTGAAGGAAAAAAAAATTAATTCACTTTTTCATATTTTTGCATTAATCAGTTTTGTTTAATTTAAAGAAAAACAGATTTTTTGGTGAAAAAAGTAAGTTTTTATAATTTATTTCTAAACAATTTTATTTTATTCAAACATTGGAAATTTTTGCATCAAAAATTAAAAAAATGAATTTAAAAGTTTTCTTATATTACATTTTGAAATTTAAAAATTCCAAAATGAAATTCAAAATTAAAATTACTAGTTATTTAAAAATTAATAAAGTTGATAAATTACAAAAATAAAAAACTGAACTTAAAAGTTAAAAATAAATATTAAGAAGTTTTTAATTACTAAATTCAATTTAAAATTGAAAATTACGAAAGAAAATTTCCCGTTCATTTTTAAAATCGAGAGATAAAAATGCTATTAAATAATTATTAAAAATCAAAAGTGTTACAAAATTGAATTCAAAAATTGAAAAGCAGAATTTAAATTTAAAAACTAAATTGAATTCAAAAATTATTAATAAATCGAGTTTAAAAAATTTAATGCAAAAAACAGTTAATTGATTTCAAAAATTATAAAATTAAATTTAAACATCTTTTGATTGGATTTAAAAGCTAAAAATTAATTTTTGAATTTGAAAATTAAAAAAAATGAAATTTTTAATTTACGAAAGGTCATTGTCCGTTAATCTTAAAAATAAATCAATAAATGAAAAAATGAATATACTATAGAAAAATTAATAAAGTCAAAAATTACAAAATTATAATAAAGAATTGAAAAGCTGTATATTTAAAAGTTAAAAGTTAACATTTGTAATCTAAAAATTCCATAAAATTCCAAATTTGAAATTAAATTAATTATTAAATTCAGAGATTAAGGATATTTTATAATAACTTAAAAATTAAAATGACTATTCAAAAATAAGTAAATTGAGTTAAAAAAAACTAAAAAATTACATAATTGAATTTAAAAAAATTGAAAAGCTGAATTTAAAAGTTAAAAACTAAAATTTGAAATTTAAAAATTCCTTGAAATTTCAAAAGAATTTAATAATGAAATTCATAAATTAATAAATTGGGTTTATAAATTACAAAATTTCATTAAAAAGTATAAAATTGAAAATACTGTTCAGCAATTATTAAAAAGTTGAAAAATTACAAAATTGAATTTCTAAATCAAAGAAATTTAAAAAAAAATTCAAAATTTCTGAAATGCACTTCCCGTTAATCTTTTGATATAAATAAATAAATTAAAATACTATTCAAAAGTTAATAGTTCAAAATTATACAAAATTGCGAATTCAAAAATTGAAAAACTGAATTTAACAGTTAAAAAAATTAATTTTTTAAATTTAAAAATTTGAAAATGAAAATAAAAATTTTTTAAATTAAATGAGAACAAGTTTTTAAAAATCTGTTTCTTAAAGAATTTTTATAGTTTTCAAAAAAAAAAAAAATATTACTCGTTTTAAGGGTATATCTGTAGAACCTTTAACTTTTCAATAAAACAAAGAAATTTTTATTTTATTTCTGAGCACAATATTGAAAATCTGTGTCTACATAAACTTTTATGAACGATTTTCCTATTAAATTATATTAAAATTATTCATAGAAAATTAAAATCTTTTAAAGAATTTTATTAGAATTTTTGTAAATAATTACATTTTTTTTAGAATTTCCTTAAATTTCGTAAAAAAATCTGATTTTTTTAAAGTAATTTTAATTGAAAATTTTGAAAATAATTGAGATTTACAAAGAATTTTATTAAAAACTTTTGAGAACATTTGAATTGTTGAGAAAAATTTTATTACAATTTTTAAAAATAATTGAACCTGTTAGAGAAATTTTATTAAAATTGTCTTGAATTTAATTGAACTTTTTCCTATAAATTTTATTAAAATTGTATTGAAAATAATTGCATTTTTCCGAAACATTTTATTATTTATGAAAATAATTGAATTATTATCAAGAATTTTACAATTTATAAAAAGAAGTAAATTGCTTCGAAGAATTTTTTATTAGAATTGTTGAAAATAATTGAATTTTTATTAAAAACTCTTGAAAATAATCGAATTTAATAAATATTTTTTAAAATAATTGATTTGTTTCGAGAAATTTTTTTAAAATTGTATGTGATGGTTAATAATAATAATAATAATTATATTGAAAATAGAGTTTAATTAAACTGAATTGTAAAAATATAAAATTTTAATTTTTAAAGTTTATCACACAGATTTCCAAAGACTTTTTTCTATTTAAATGTAACACTCGTAAACTCAGGCCTCAGATATTATAACATTTTCGACTTTTTTCGACTTATTATTGTAAAAAGAATTTTTTTTAAAGTGTTTTATAAAACTTTTTGAAAATCAACGTTTGAAGAATTTTAATTGCAAATTTTGAAAATAATTGAAATTGAATTCCTCAGAAGAATTTAATTTTTAAAAATATTTTTAATATATTTCGAATAAATTCAATTATTTTCTAAAATCTTAATAAATCCTTTGAAACAATTCAATTATTTTTATAAATGGTAAAATTCTCCGCAAGAATTCAATTATTTTTATAAATATAGTAAAATTCTTTGCAGGAATTCAATTATTTTCAAAACATTTTGAATTGAATTTCTCGGAAGAATTCAAATATTTACAAATATTTCCATAAAATTCAATTATTTCCTAAAATTTTCATAAATTTTTCGAAACAATTCAACTATTTTTTATAAATACTAAATGAATTTTTAAAATTTACAATAAAAAAAAAAGAGTTTCAATAATTGAAATTTTGTAAAATTAAATTGAAAATATTTGGTTTTTTTCAAAGTGTTTGATAAAAATTTTTGAAAATAAGCATTAAAAGAATTTTAATTGTAAATTTTGAAAATAATTGATTTCTCAAAAATTTTAATGAAAAATCTTCAAGTGTAAATTTAAAAATGGTAATTAATGAAAATTAGCTACAAAAAAATTATATTAAAATATTTTTGAAAAAAATAATTCTTAGAACTTTTTGCATTCTAATTTTCTTAAAATTCAATTATTTTCAATATTTTCAAATACAAATTTGCAAAAATTCAAATACGTACAAAAAATAATAACATTAAAATTTTTAACAATTATTTTTAACATTTTAACAACATATGACTTTTTTAGATTTTTTTCCTTTTCTCGCATCTTATCTTTTTTCAGAATTAATTTTTTTGGATCAGTTTTTGTGTGTAAAAATATCTTGAAACTTAAACTTTACTTAAACTTTAGGTTTCTTATTAATAACAGTTTCAAATATAAAAAAAAGTGAGAATTGACAACTTCATACTTGACATTTTTTTTGTAAAAACATTCGGTCGATTACGATCGACCGTAATTGACATGAAATCTAAATTTAATAATTTGTTTGATTAGGTTGGTGTTTGGTGCATCAGTGGGTCCAAATGCGATGAAAGGCGACTCAAGTGGAGTGCAGTGTTACGATGGAATTCGCGTGCGATCCCTGCCAGTTCCAGTGTCGAGTTCATGTCAAATGGTTGTTGGAACAAACACAACGCAAACTTCAATGCCGATTGCCACACTCTCAACACCAATGACAATTGGCAGCAATATAACTCCCGCTAAGGTGCTTCCCGTACAACAACGTTCAATCACGGCTATAAATCCCGTTCCCGATAGCACTGCCCTTGATAATTCCGGAATTCAAAAGAGTCCCGCCCCGGCATCCCCGATCCTTAAGGCCCAACTCTCTGCACCACCAAAGCCTCCCACTCCGAATCAAGCCCAGAATCCGGTCACCAAGATTGACTCGAAAAGTCAGGTGGGTCCGAATCCTCACTCTCAAAGTCATTCAATCGGCTCTAGCATTTTATTTTCCTTTTTTTTCTATTACATTTTATATTCCATTTTTTTTTTGCAATTTTTTGCATTTTTTTAAAAAACATTTTCTACATTTTTTTTACCACTTTTTTTTTTTCTCGACATCTCTCTGTCTTTTACTATATCTTTCATTTCTTTTACTCGTTTACTTTGCAGCCATTCATCTAATGCATGATATTACATCCAGTGCCAAAAAAAAGTCGCAATTTTAATAAAATGCTATTCAGGTGGAAATTTCTTGGGGAAAAGAAATGGATGTGTGATAATTGTCCAAAATATTTGTATTTAATCGAGTCTTGATTTGAGAAAATTTTAGCGATTTTGCTATTTAGAAATTTCTGTAATTTATACAGAGTTGTCACTCATCAGGGAAATTGGGGAAAAGACCTCACGTAAAGTTGGGGCTTTTTGATTCCAAATTTGCAGGCTTTGCACTCATCTTCCAAAACCTACTATTTATTACTTTTTTTACAATTTGCTACTATTTTGATTCTTCAGACTTCTGACACTAGAAGCTACTTTTTTCTTTTTTTTTCACAAACATTAGTTTAAATCCGCTAATAATTGAAATAAAGAAATTATTCTCAAAAATTTTCATAGAATTCTTAGAAACATTTTAAACAATTTTAATATAAAATTCTTTAAAACAATTTAATTTTTTTCAAAAATTTTAAGAAACATTTTTTTGGCAAGAATTCAATTATTTTTCCAAATAACGAAATTCTTCGCTAAAATTAAATTATTTTCATTATCTACTATTTTGATAAAATTTTACAAAAGTATTACATTATTTTAAAAACATTTTAACACAATTTACAAAAACTTCAATTATATCCATAAATACTAATATTTTCACAGATTTTCAATTATTTAAAATATAATTTTCATACAATTTTTTGAAAAATTGAAATAAATTCACTCAAAAAATGCAATTATTCTTAAAAAATTTTTTCAATTATTTTTTTAAATTTTGATAAAATACTGTATAGAAATTCTATTTTAAGAAATAATGAATTATTCGATGAATTCTTTATTTTTGTATTTAAATAAAATATTCGTACAACTTTTTAACGAAAATTTATTTAAAAATGAGTTTCAGTTAAAATTTTAGAATTTACATTATTTTAAGTCCGTTAATAATTGAAATAAATAAATTATTCTGGAAAATTTTTAATAAAATTTTTTGAAATGATTCAATTATTTTACAAAATTTTAAGAACTTTTTTTGGGGAAAAATTCAATTATTTTCCCAAATAATGAAATTCTTCGCTGAAATTCAATTATTTTCAATATTTTAACAAAATTTCACAAAAGAATTGAATTATTTTAAAAGAAATTTTAATAAAATTCTTTGCAAAAAATTCAATTATTTTCATAAATAATCAAATTTCCACAGATTTTTAATTATTTAAAATACAATCGAGTGCGAAGCCTGCAAGTTGTTTTACAGCTGAAATTGTCATGTCAAAAGTTTGACAATTAATTTGTAAATAGAGTTAATAGTCTTTTAGTGAAATTAATTCCTCTAGAATTTTTTCAATAACTTTTTTTCATTTTGTTCACAAAATGATGAATTTTCTGTCTCAAATTAAAAAAATCTCTGAAATAAAGTTACAGTTGCAATTTTTTTTAGAAATAATCAATTATTTTATCACTTATTTTTGTATTTAAATAATTGAATTTTCCTACAACTTTTTGTTATGAATTGATTTGAAAAAGAATTTCAGGTAAAATTTTTGAAAACATTTGAAGAATTGAAAGAATTGCAATTCTAATTTTATTTAAATTTCAAATGATTTTACATTGAAAATATTTTTAAATTATAATTCCTGGTGGTCAAATAAATAACAATAAAAATTCCAATATTTACGTATTAAACAAAAATTAATATGAAATTTGAAAAATTTAATTTAGAAATTCTGAAAAAAGGAGGTTTTTAAAAAATTGATAATTAACATTTTTTGAAAATAGTTGAATTGTCGACAATAATTTTTAAAAATAGAAAAAATAGGGAATTTTCTCAAATTTTATATTTAAAAGAATTTTTGTTTTTTCACATTAAAAAAGTATTATTAAATATTATTGAATTCTTTTATTGTTATATTATTTTAATTCTAATTCTTTGAATTTATTGAAGAACTAAAAATCTGGAAAACAATTAAATTTTACAAAAAAGTTTCTAATAAGAATTGATTTAAAAAAGAATTTTAGTTAAAATTTTGAAAAATAATAATTGAATATTAGAAGCTTTATAACTATAATTTTTAGGAAATGATTAAATTTTAAAAGTTTTAAATTCAGATTGAAAATTCTAAAAAATAATTTACTTTTGGAAAAATTGCAGTTGTAATTTTTAGAAATAATTGAATTTCAAAAGATTTTACTTTGAAATTTTAATTAAAATAAATAACAAAATGTTTTTATATATTTGCTTAACAAAAATGATTAAAGTTTTGAATAATTTCATGTAGAAATTCTAAAAGAAATTGGACTTTTGAAAAATAATTTCAAAAATTGAAATAATTAAGAGTTTTGTCAAATTTTATTGAAATGAATTTTATATTTGAAAGAAATTAATTTTATTACTTTTAAAAATTGTTTTGAAATAAAATAATATTTTTCATGAAATATATTTCGAAAAATTATATTTTCTAGAAAATAATTCAATTTCATTAAATAGTTTTAAATAAATTAATTCTTAAAGAATTATTGAAAAATTATTATTTATAAATTATTTAGCGAATAATTTTACTTGGAAATTCAAAAAAATATTAAATTTTATAAAAGTACTTAGTGTTTGCAATTTTTATAAGTAACTAACAAAATTTGAATAATTTCAGATTCAAAATTTAAAAAATCCATTTATTAAATAATTAGCAAAGTAATTATTATTATATATTATTTTCAAAAAATTTAATAATCTTCTTCAAAACATTCTAATAATTATTTTGAATTTAATTTTTATTAAATTTGAAAAAAATATGGGAGAATTCAATTATTATTTTCATGAATAATAAAATTCTTCGCTAGAATTCAATTATTTTTAATACAATTCTAATGAAATTTTTCAAAAAAATAAAATTATTTAAAAAAAATTTAATCTAAAGAATTTTAATTCTTTAGATAAATTCAAGTATTTTAAATATAATTTTAATAACATTATTTGAATCAATTCAATTATTTTCACAAATTGTAATAAAATTAAATGCGAGAATTAATTTATTTACATCCATTTCTTTCGAATGAAAATTGAAAAATCGCATTTGGACAATTTTCAATCGTGTGTTTCATGTTTAAAAATCATCGATAAAATTTCTCATTATATTTTTAGTCACGAATTTTTCATTAAACGTTCTTTTTCTACTCTAATCAATATTTTCAAAATTTTGAAAACAATTTGAAAATTATCATTTTCGAATATAAAATGATTTATAACAAAAGGGATCGAGAATTTGATGAGAAAAGGGCTGTGAAATTATAAACCATTGAAATTTACATTGTTTAGAAATTTTTATTTTTTCTATCAAGGATATAAATTTTTTGATAAATTGGAGTAAATTTAAAGTAAAAGTTAAATTTAAAAGTAAAATTCATTTTCAAATAGAATTAAAAATTCAGAATAATTTTTGCTTACAATTGTTTCTATTTCTTATTCTTTTAAATTTAACAGTTTGTTTAAAAAAAATAAAATATCTAAAGTAGTCGAATACTGAAAAAATTAAAATTCCGCTCGATATTTGCATAAAAATGAATGTTTGTTAAATAAAAATGAGAAATTTTAAGGTTTAATATTTAAATTAAAATTTTCTATTAACTGTTTATCAAAAGTAGTTTATTAGCAAAATGGAAAATAATTTAATTTTCATTTCAAGTGAATTTTGATTTAACGAATTGAGATAGTAACTGTCGATAAATTATTTTCAATTTCGATGAACATTTTCACGATTGCGGCTTTTTTTGGTGCTCTTGGTGTACATGACAAAAAAAAACATAGAGAAAAAAAAGAAAAAGAATGACCATTGATGGATTCGAGACTTTCGGATTAGAAGTGAATTTTGTCTGAATTTCCTGAAAGAAATTTCGATGATTTTCACTTTTCTATTGCTTACATGTCATTTTTCGAAAATCTTCATTTTTTTACCCCTTTCTTTACTTGAGGAAAAACAATTTAAATCACTTTAGCAAGCGAAGAAAAATCAAATAAAGTAAATAGTTCAAAAATATTGAAATTTTTTAATAATTTTTTTAATTTTCAAGAATTTTACAGTTTTTAATAGTTTGATAATCTTTAATATTTTCATTATTTTCTAATAGTTTCAATAACTTATTCAATTATTTATTGTTTAATAATTTATTTTTAATTTCATAATTTTTAATAGTTTATTAATTTTTAATAATCTTAATATTTATTTACTTATTTATTTAAGAAATATACGGGACGAGAAATATTTAATTTAATTCGAGATTAGTAAATATTTATAATGAATAATTATAATTAATAATTATTAATTAATAATTAAATGTTTGTTGAAATTTTTCTTTATGAATACTTTCATTGCTGAAGTGATTTTTGTTTGTGTATATTTCTTCTATTGTACAAATTCTTATTTTGTTTCTAAAAATGCTTTTTGCTATTAACGATCTTCAAGCTTAAGCTACACTGTAGTTTTTTTTATCGTTGCAAATTATTTGGGAACTCAAAAAAAACTTGGGATTATTTTTAAATTTCTTTTAAGCAGATAATTGCAAGTTGATCACTTTTTTAATTGATGTGAAATGATTATAGTTTTTTCCTCTATCAGTTTTTGTATGCTTTTGCTTAAAAAATTGCTTTCTTACTTTTATTAATTTATTTAACTCATTTATATATAAAATTTATAAAATGCTTATAATAAATTATATAATTTTTTGTATAAGATTTTTATATAATTTATAAAATGTTTTTAATAAATTATATAATTTTTTATATAAGATTTATATATAATTTATTATAAAATATTTATATATAATTTATTATAAAATATTTGTTTATAATTTATTATATAAAATAATTTTTATAATATTTTAATATAAAAATTTATTTATTCATTAATTTGTTAATTTTAAAATTTGTCTTTTTTTGGAGGAATTTTTCTGTTTGGTTTAGCAGAAACATTTTTCGCTTAAAGTTCATTTTTTGCTTAGATGGCAAATAATTTTTAACACATTGTGTAATAATAAGTCGTTATGACAGTTCCACTAACAAAATAAGAATCAAATGCTTTACTGCTTACTATTTGAAGTTATTGATTTTTTTAAAATCTATTTTATAATTTTTTAAAATCTTTGTTCTTTTCTACGGAAAATTAATTTTTGATTTGAAAACAAAAAATATGAATATTATCTAAAATTCATGAAAAATAAATTACACTAGGAATGTAATTATTTTTGGAATTTTTATAAAGAAGGAACTTAACATTTTATAAAAAAATTATTTGTTATAACGAATCAATAGCTTCAAAATTTTTTATTATTGTCATTAAATACGGCGTAAAAATTTTTCCCGAATTCTATTTTACACTATTTCACGCGATTGACAATCAAATTCACTACTCACTAGTGAATGTTTATCAGAATTCTAATATTCCTAAAAGTTCCTTCTGCTTACATTTTCATTTGATATAATTATTAATATAATTATATGTTATTATTGTAATTATATTGCGAAGGATTTTTCTTTCACTCGCTTTAAGGACGTGTTCATCCAAAGGAATGCCGACCTTCGAAGAAAATATTCAATTGACATTTAGAAAATTAAAAGTTTTTTTTTATTAATGGTATTTTCTAGAAGAACAACTATAAATTTTCAATGAAAAAAATTTTAAACCTACGAAATTTATTTGTTTTTTAAATTTTTATTTGACATAATTATTATCATATAATTTGGATCATATTTGCAAAATGTATAGAAACATATAAATTTTGTAGGTTTTAAATATTTTCCTTAAAAATTAATACTTAATTTGTTCTAGAACATATTTTTAGTAATAATTTAATTATTTAAATGTTAATTCATTATTTTATTAGAGATTTACATTCTCTTTGATGAATCACCTTAAATTAAAATTATGGTAATACTTAAATAGAACAGAAAAGAAATTCGAGAATTTGCTTCAAGTCCGTAATTTGAATAAAATTTTCCAAAAGAAAATTTTTCGAAAGAATTCAATTATCTTCGTAAAATAACAAAATTCTTCTCAGAAATTCAATTGGACTTTTAATAAAATTCTTTGCAAAATTCAATTATTTTCATAATTATCAATATTCATCTAACGAATTCAATTATTTTCGAAAGTATTAAAATTCTTTACGAAAAATCAATTATTTTTAGAAATTTTAATAAAATTCTATGGAAAATTCAATTATTTTTAGAATATTTAATCAAATTCTTAGCAAAATTTCAATTATTTTCAAAAATTTTCCTCAATTTAATGATTTTCAATATCTAGTATTATAATAAAATTTTCTAAAGAATTCAATTATTTAAAAAAATTTAAATAAAATTCTACGCAAACAATTAATTATTTCCAAAAAATAATAAAAATTTCACAGGAATTCAATTATTTACAAATTTTTTTATAAATTTCTTCGCAATAATTCAATTATTTTCATAAATAATATAATTTCTGCAGAGATTCAACCATTTTTGTAAATAATAAAATTCTTTCTGGGAATTCAATTATTTTTTAAAATAGTCAAACTAATTGCGAAATTTCAATTATTTTTAAAACAATTTCAATCGAATTCATCGAAAAATGTAATTAGATATTCTTAAAAATTTTATTAAAATTCGTCAAAAGAATTCAATTGTTTAAAACATTTTCTTAATAAAATTCTTTATGAGAATTCAATTTTAAGAAACATTCAATTATTCAATAAATAATTTACTTTTGTATTAGAATAATTGAAAATTCGTAAAATTGAATATTGTTAACAAATGGATTTGAAAATTGTCAATGAACTGTTTCAAAAATTATTAAAAATAATTAATTTTAAGAAGAATTTCAATTGAAAATTCTAGAAAATAATAAAATTTTCCACTGTATTACAATTATTTATAAAATTTTTTATAAAATTCTTCGCAAGAATTCAATTACTTTTACAAATAATAAAAATTTTCACTGGAATTCAATAATTTGTAAAATGCTAATAAAATTCTTCCCAAGAATTAAATTATTTTTATAAATGTTAAAATTTTTCTCAGGAATTCAATTATTTTCATAAATAATAAAATTTTTTTTAGGAATTTAATTATTTTTATGAATAATAAAATTCATCGCAAAATTTTAATTATTTTTAATACAATTTTAAATAAATTCCTTGAAAAATGCAATTATTACTTAAAAATTTTATTGAAATTCTTTGAAAGAATTCAATTTTATAAAACGTTTAATTATTCAATTAGTTATTATTAATTTTAATAATAATTGAATATTGGAAGTATTATAGACTTAATTTTTAAATAATTTAATTTTGAAAAGGTTTCATATTAAAATCGTTGAAAATTTGAATTTTTCATTCTTTTAATTATAACAATTCTGTAGAATTAAATTTTTTGTTAATATTATTTCAAGTTTTTATTTTCTAATAATATATTTAATTAAAGGATTTTGCGAATAACGGAAATTACAGTAAAATTAAATGTATACTAAAATTGTAATTATTTAGATTTTAGAATTCTCCAAGAACTTTGTTAAAAATTATTAAAAATTATTTTCCAGACTTTTAATAAAAATTTAATTATTTTGAACAATTTTATTAAATTTCTTCGAAACAATTCAATTATTTTCATAAATTGTGAAATTCTTGGCATGAATTTGATAATTTTTGTAAATAATAAAATTCTTCTGAGAAATTCAAATTATTTTCAATACAATTTTAATAAAATTTGTAGGAAAAAATTTAATCATATTCAAGATAATTTTAATAAAAATTTCTCTAACAGGTTCAATTATTTTTAAAAATTGTAATGAAATTTTTTTAAACAATTCAATTGTTCTCAAAAGTTTTTAATAAAATTCTTTGTAAATTTCAATTATTTTCAAAATTTTCAATTAAAATTATTTAAAAGAATTACATACATTATTTTTACGAAATTTAATGAAATTCTTTAAAAAAAAATGTAATTATTTACAAAAACTCTAATAAAATTGTTTAAAAGAATTTAATTTTCTATGAATAATTTTAATTTAATTTAATATGAAAATTATTAATTAAAATTAATAATAAACACGAGTATTTTAAATACTTAAAAGAAAATCTTGATAAAATTCAATTAACTTTCAAAATTTTCAGTAAAAATTATTTTAAAAAATTTCGTTATTTTCAAGAAAATTGAAATAAATTCTTTAAAACAATTCAATTATTTTAAAGAATTTTAATAAAAATCTTGACAAGAATTAAATTATTTTCAATGCAATTTTAATTACATTTTCTCGAAAAAATGCAATTTAATTTTTGAAGTTGATTGTCGTTCGGTGAAAATAGTTTCCAACTTGAAATGTGTAAAAATTCGGTGAATAATTTTTGCGTTTTCATTGGGAGAGAATGTAGAATGTTATAATCACAAACTAACATGCATTGTCCGAATCGTTGAGTATTGTTTGGTGTGGATTAGGTGTCAGTGTCGCACCCTCATTTGAGCCAAGCACTTCTGGCAACTGGATCTCAAACGCAACAACTTCAACAGCCTCAACAGCAGCAGCAGCAGCAAAGCGGACAAGTGCAGGTGCAGTGTCAACAACAGCAGCAGCAACAATTGCAGTTGCAGCAATCGCAATCTCAGCAGCAGCAGCAGCAGATTATTCAGATAATTCAGTCACCGTCCCAGCAGATCCAGGTGATGGTGAGAGAAGACGCGAGGGCGAGCACCACGTCTAGTTCAATAATTAAGAGCCTCCTGGCTACCAAGGTAACGGTCAGCGGCGACTGCATGCCCAGTGCCGCTACGACTTGTGTGTCTGTCCCTTCTGCCTGCGTAACAAACACTACTAGCATCGCATCTGGCATCAGTGTCAACCAGCTAATAACCAACAACCAGGTATCCTTCTTATAACCAAAAATGATAACATTTCTTCGTTCCCTTGATATTCTACCTTCTTGAATAAACAGGGTTGCCACAGGTCAGGGAAATCAAGGAATTTAGGGAAAAGTCAGGGAAAGTAAAATTGGTCAGGGAAGTCAGGGAAAAGTCAAGGATTTTTATTTAAATAACTGGAAAAAATTGAATTTTGGAGACGTTACAAATGATTGCAGAAATTCAATTATTTTCAAAAGTAATAAAATTCTTCGCAGAAATTCAATTATGTTCAAAAATTAAAAAAAATTCTCATAAAAATTCAATTATCTTTAAAAATAATAAAATTCTTCTCCAAATTTAAATTATTTTCAAAAATTTTAATAAAATTCTTTGCAAAATTTCAATTATTTTCAAAAAAATTTTCTCAATTCAATGATTTTCAATATCTACAGTTTTAATAAAATTTTCCAAAAGAATTCAATTATTTCCTGAACAAAAAATTTTGATAAAATTTTAAGCAAACTTCGCAATAATTCAATTATTTTCATAAATAATAACATTTTTTTTACAAAAAGTTCAATTATTTTCATGAATAATAAAATTCATCATAGAATTTCAATTATTTTTAATACAATTTTAATTGAATTCCTCGAAAAATTTAATTATTCTTGAAAATTTTATTAAAATTTCTCGAAAAAATTCAAATTTGTTGATAAAATTCTTTATGATAATTTAGTTTCGAAAAACATTCAATCATTCAATAAATTGTTTATTTTTGTATTTAAATAATTGAATTCTTGTAGAATTTTCCAATAAAAATTGATTTAAAAATGAATATCAGTTAAAATTTTAGATAATATAATTGAATATTAAAAGCATTATAGCATGAATTTTTAAAAATACGTAATTGATAAAATACATAATTAAATTCTTTCGAAGAATTTTAACAAAATTTTTGAAAATAGTGACATTTTTCGAAGAATTTACTTAAAATTGTATTAAAAATAAATGAAATCCTGTGAAGAATTTTATTAATTTATGAAAGTAATTGAATTCTTGCAATGCATTTTTTCAAAATTTTTTTAAATAATTGAAATAATGTAAAGAATCCTATTATTTATAAAAATAATTGAATTCTTGCATCGAATTTTATTACATTTTTTTAAATAATTGAATTCTTTTGAGAGCTTTTATTAAAAAAGTAGATTGTGAAAATATTTGAATTTCAACGAAGAATTTCATTACATTCGTGAAATGTAATTAAATTCTTACAAAAAAATTAAGAGAATAATTCCATTTTTCTATAGAATTTACTTTAAATTGTATTATAAATAATTGAAATCCTCAGAAAAATTTTATAATTTATGAAAATAATGGAATTCTTACAACCGAATTTCATCAATTTTTTTTTAAATAATTGAATTCATGTGAAAAATTTTATTATTTGTAAAAATAATTGAATTTATGCAACGAATTTTATTACATTTAATTTAAATAATTGAATTCTTTTGAGAACTTTTATTAAAAAAGTAGATTGTGAAAATTTTTGAATTTCAGCGAAGAATTTCATTATTTTTGTGAAATGTACCTAATTTAATTCTTGCAAAAAATTTTTGAAGATAATTTTATTTTTCGAGAAATTTATTTAAAATTGTATTAAAAATAATTGAAACCATGTGAAGAATTTTATTATTTATGAAAATAATTGAATTCTTGCTTAGAATTTTATTATAATTTTTGTAAATGTGTAATTAAATTTTTTTTTTGAAAAATTTTATGGAAATTAAAATTTTTATAAAACATGAAGATATTAATCACTCCGAGTCTTCGACTCGGAGTAATTGATATCTTTATGTTTTATATTAGTATTCTTATAAGTTGTTTAATTTTAAAAATGTTTGAAGAATTTTAATTCCTATGGAAAAATAATAATTAAATACTTATTTAAAATTTAGTTATTGATGTTTGCGAATAATTTTACAATTTAAGAAATTCGTATGTAAATGTAATATAATGTTTTTTTGAGTATCTAATAATTTTTAGAGTGAATCAGAATATTCTTTATGGTCAGGGAAAAAGTGAAAATTTTGTCTGAAAATCAGGGAAAAATAAAATTAAATATTTGTGGCAACCCTGATAAAATAATTCGCCATAGGGATCTGAACAGAGTTGCAAGCGAGGTTTATTTAAAAATAAAGAATTTTATAAATTATAAGGTAGTTCATTCAACAGAATGCAGACCTTTAGAAAAATAATTAATTAACATTCAAAAAATTAAAATATCATTGTTAACAGTTTTTTCTAGAAAAAACAAAAATTCTTATATAAAACCATCAATGTTTTCCATTTCTGACAATAATTTCTTTTTAAATAACTTAATTCTTGAAGAACTATCATAAAATTATAACTTGGAAATTATTTAATGAATAATTTTATTTATACATTTCAAAATTAATTCAACTTTAAAATAGTATCGTTTACAACTTTCATAAATAGATTAACTTGAAAAGATTTTAGCTTTAAATTTTATAAAATTTCAATTTTGAATGAATTTTATTAGAAATTCTAAAGAACTTACATTTTTGCAAAAAAATTTTCAACATTAAAATAATTGTAAAATTAGTTAAATTTTTTAATATATGTATTTAATTAATTATTAAAAATAATAAATTTATCGAGGAATTTTAGTTAAAAACACTAAAAAAATTTTTTATTTTGGAGAAGTTTCAAATAATTGCAAAAATTCAATTATTTTAAAAAATAATAAAATTCTTCGCAGAAATTCAATTATTTTTCAAAAATTTTCATAAAATTCTTGACAAAATTTCAATTATTTGCAAAAATGAATTTAATTTTCCTAAATTCAATTCATTCAATTATATACAATATCTACTATTTTTAGAAAATTTTCCACAAAAATTCAATTATTTAAGAAAAATTTTAATAAAATTCTACGCAAACGTTTAATTATTTTAATTCGAAGTAAATTTCTTCTGTTAAATATTAATTTGAAATAACAAAGTTTCATGAGCATCGCAACTAAAAAATCAAGTTAATTTTATCTTTTAGAAAACGTTCGATTTTGCAGAAAATACTCTCAAATGAAACACATTCAGGAAGATGGATAATTTTTTTTACTACCTATTTAATATTTTGCTATTAGAAATTTAAATAATTTTCCGAAATACAATTTTTTATGTATTTGAAATTATAGCTCTTTCAGAAGTTCTGCTGTCCAAAGTAAAAACCTAGTATTTTTAAAGCAAACTTTTCTTTTTCTTTTCTTTTTTAAAAGTGGCTAGAACTTTTGGAATTTTTTTTTTAAATTTCGATGGTTGATTCTGAAAAAGCTATTTTAAATACTTAAAAAATAGTAATTAGACAAATTTTTGCATTCTCATTACTTGAGAAAGTATTAGTCTTGGTCGAAAATTGATTTTTGCTGATTTTTTAAAATCTTTACGGTCCAAGGTGTCTAGAAACTGAAAATTATAGTTTTACAATGGTGATTGTATTTGGTGTGTCTGTCCGTTCGTCTGTAGATCAAAATATTCCGACAATAACCTCTGTTAAAAATTAATTACATCGACTTGGACTTGTTTAAATTTCTATTAGCAGAAGAAATGAGTAAAAATTATCTATAAAAAGTTTTCGTCCGTTTTAAATGGTTAATATATTGTTGTTAATATAAATTACTTAAGAATTTAAATAATTGAAGAAAATGTATAAAACACGTGTGTTTGCTAAAATTTGACCCCGTTGTCAACAACGTTTGCAACGTCATGATTTCGGATCCCTATTAGTTATAATAATATATAGGCAATAAGAATTTTCAATCCAGGAAAATGTGATTTTACTATTAAATATTAATAATAAAATAAAATAAAATAATTATTAAAATAAAATTTTAATAATTTAACATTTTGTTTTTTAATAATTTTTTATTATTATTAATTAGTTAATCTTTAACGTCAGAGATTTTTTATAAAACGAAAACATTTGAACAATGATTAAAATATATTTACTTCAACGGTTCGAAATCTCAGGCTTCACAGTTTGTCCCCTATTTCCCTGAAAGTCTCCTTTTTAATTTTGGCCCCTAAACGTACCCTATTTTGAAAATTTCCCCTATTTTTTTTCGTCGCAAGAAATCAATTATTTTCATTAATTAATTAATTAATTAATTAATTAATTAATTCTGCAAAAGAATTCAATTATCTTGATAACCAACAAAATTCTTTCAATAAAATCAATTATTTTAAGGATTTTTAATGAAATTCTTTTCCAAAATTCAATTATTTTGATAAATATCCAAATTCTTCTCAAGAATTCAATTATTGACAAAAATTTTAATTCAATTCTTGGCAAAATTTCAATTATTTAAACAAACTTTAATAAAATACTTTGGACGAATTCAATTATTTTTATAAATTTTAGTAAGTATCTTGTCAAGAATTCAATTATTTTTATAAATAGGAAAATTTTTCGACAAAAATTCAATTATTTTCAAAAATTTAAATAAAATTCTTTGCAACATTTCAATTATTTTTAAAAGTTTTTCGCAATTCAGTGTTTTTAAATATTTACTATTTTCATAAAATTTATCAACAGATTTAATTTATTATAGAAAAAACTTGTTGATACAATTCTACGAAAAGATTCAATTATTTTCATAAATAATAAAATTTCATTTACGAATTCAATTATTTTCATCGCAGAATTTCAAATATTTTTAATAGAATTTTAAATAAATGCCTTGAAAACTGCATTTATTATTAAAAATTTTATTAAAACGTGAGGAAAGATTCAATTTTAAGAAACATTCAATTATTCAATAAAACAATGAAATTCGTTGCAATAATTCAAATATTTTCATAAATAACATTTAATTCGTTGCAGAAAATCAATTATTTTCAAAAATTTTTAACTAATTCTGCAAAAGAATTTAATTATCTTGATAAACAACAAAATCGCATAAATTCTCCGCATAAAATAAATTATTGTAAGGAATTTTAATAAAATTCTTTTCCAAAATTTAATTATTTTGATGAATATCAAAATTCATCACAAGAATTCAATTCTTTTGAAAAATAATAAAATACTTTGCAGAAGTTAAATTATTTTCAAAATTTTTTAAAAATTCTCGTCAAGAATTAAATTATCTTTATAAATAGATAGGGAAATTGTTCTCAAGAATTAAATTATTGTCAAAATTTTTTTTAAAATTCTTTTCAAGAAGTCAATTATTTTCAAAAATTTTAATAAAATTCTTTTCATGAATTCAATTGTTTTCAAAAATTATTATTTAAATTCTTCTCAGGAATTCAATTATTTTAAAAAAATTTAATAAAATTCTTCAAAAATTTTTCAATTATTTTCAAAAATTGTTATAAAATTCTTTAATATAATAAATTTCATTAAAATTTCAATTAAATTCCTTAAACGAAATTAAATATTTTCAAAAGTTGTTAATACAATTTTTCGAAAAAATTAAATTTTAAGAAACATTCAATATTATTTATTTTTTTATTTAAATAATTGATTTCTCGTGGAATTAAATTATTATTTTTCTTACTTTTAACTAACAATTCTGTAGAATTAATTTTTTTGAAAAAGTTTAATTGATTAATAATTGATGTTATTGATTTAAAGTAGAATTTTAGTTAAAAATTCTAGAAAATGTTAATTGAATTGAAATGATACAAATAATTTTGAAGAAATTACAGTAACAATATTCTTATAATAATAAACTAATGATTTTGTCAGTCGGTCATCTTTAATTATTATAAAACAAAAGGAAATGGATAATTTTCTTTATGTTTTATAATAATATTCTTATGAGTTGTTCAATTTGAAAAGGTTTGAATTTGAAATTTTTGAACATCTTAATTCCAATGAAAAAAAAATGATTTGATATTTATTTTAAATAAAACTATCTATTGATGTTTTCGAATAATTTAACTTTTGAAGAAATTTGTAAATAAATTAAATAAAACATTTTTTTTGAGTATCTAATAATTTTGAGAGTGAATCAGAATATTCTTTAGGGTCAGGGGAAAAGTGAAAGTTGTGTTTGGAAATGAGGGAAAAGTCAGGGAAAAATAAAGTTAAATTTTTGTGGCAACCCATGTATAAATAAATCATATTTTTATCTTTATTTAATAAATTTTTATGGTCCCCTAAAAGTCCCCTATTTTTTAATTTTCAGTCTCCTATTTCCCCTAAAATACTTTTTAGGGTCACTGTGAAGCCTGAAATCTAAATGATTTTCTCTTCAGGGAGTCAGAATAATTAATAAGTCAAATAAAAGGAGACAAAAAAAAGAAATGTTTATTTTATTATTATTATAATAATTTTTATTAGCTAAAAAAAAGTTTACAATCATTTAATTAATTGTTCACTCAGTCGTTAGGAATTTAGGCTAAAAATTTTTTCTCTAATTGCTTAAATAAATAATTATTACTAGCAATAAAACTAGGTTCAAATTTCCGTGGAAGTAAAAACCAAATTTTACCATTTCTTTAAATGGCGTAAAAAGAAGGAAAACTTTTTTCAAGTTTAAGATTACTTCTCAAAAGGGGAAGGCAAAAATTAAAAAAGTTTTTAATTAAACCACTTGACCGTATGTATAATTATCAAGAAGAAGAAGAAATTGAGTGCCTCTAACAGAGTTTTTTGTGAATTGTTTTTAAATAACACTTAGTTTATTCATAGCATGATTTGAAATTATACCGTATAGTGAAATCGACTTTAGAAGAAGAGTATAAATTCAATATATTCAAATTTTTATCATGAAATAAAATTTCCCAGTTAATGCATAATTGTATAGGTAAAAATTATCTAATTGATATTTTACAATTATTTATTTATTTATTTGCAATCTTGTTTCAATATTACGAATATTGAAAGGTTAAAAGAATATATTATGAATACCTTTTTTAATTATCCTTATATCCTAATTTTTTCATGAAAAATTGTCGATCAGAGTAGAAATAACAAAAATTGTTTTTCCTTTTAGATAATTTCTTAAAAATTGTGTGTTGATTTTTATTGAATACTAACAAAGCATGAATAATGTAGAATTATTTCTTTGAACAGAGGAAATAGTTTATTTTCAAACTATTTTTGATTCCAAACTGAAATCTATTGAGGGTGCAAGCAAGGGTGTACAATGATTCTAAATTTTAAGACTTTTTCCAGCTACAGTTTCATTGATTAAAAAAAGAATTTTTGTTAAAATGAAAAATAATTGAATATTAGAAGCTTTATAACGGAAATTTTAAGAAATAATATCGGAATACAACGATTATTAATTGAATCGTTTATTTCGAAAAGGGATCAAATCTGAAAACCGTAAGAGTAATTTCCACTTGCAATTTGTTATGTGAAAATGACTCTTACGGTTTTCAGAGTTGATCTTTTTTCAAAATTCACGCTTCAATTTTAATATTAAAATAAAAATTAATAAAATTGATGAACAAATGTTAGAGGTTTATTGTACATTCAGCGCATTCTTCAGTTGGTTAAATAAAACAATTTTTAATTTCACTTTGTTATATAGAGGATTATATACAGAAGAAATAATTTTTAAATTATGAAACTGTTATATTTTTAAATTTGTAATAATTTTTTATTGTCTGTTTTCTATTAAAAATTTGACTTCCTTGTGAAAATAGGTCGCTCAACGTCAGCAACAGCAAAGGTTATTGCAACAGCAATTGAATGTTCAGTCCGTGACTCCTGCAACGACGCCAACATCTGTAGGATGTCAAGTGAACAAACCTTTCGTTAATTCGAAGCAAAAAACAGCTATCGTTACGACTCCTGCCAAAAAAATACAAAGGCTCAACGGAGCCAAAGTCATAATGACTAACAATTTCGACAAGGTATTTTCTCTTTTTTCATATTTTTGTAACTTTTTTTTTTTATGATAATTTTTAATTTGTAAAGTGTTATATTATAATAATTTGTTTTTATTAATTTTTGAATAGACTGAAGTAAGCGATAATGAAAACGGACAAACAAAACTAGTGATGCAAGTGACGAGCGATAATCACTTGTCTCTGGGAGGAAAAATTTGCCGACCGCCAACAATAACATCGACGTCGGTGTCGTCGAGTACAGTTAATAAAAACCAAAGATCAATTTGTACATCAATTGCTGAAGATTCAGACTCAACGAACAATTCCCTGGCGTCGAGCAGCGGAATCGGCGGCAGCAGAGATTGCTCGGGCGTCGGTCCCGAGGAGGAGAATTCTCTAACTAGTTTTGAAGGAATCCTTTTGAATGGCGTGCCCACCAATCTCGACATCGACGCTCAAGACGACGGTTCGTCCAAAGACTCATCGAGCATCAGTTGTAAAGAGAAACCCCTTCAGACAATGATGCTTGCCGATCTTCTCGAAAAGAAAGTCGACAAGGAACCCGTTCTCAACGGTGTTTTAGGTGAGTCACTCAAAGCTTCTTTTTCCAAATTCATTTTCAAAGTTGCCACGCAACCTGGAGACCTGGAAAACCTGGCTATATCAGGGAATGTTATAAACCTTGAAAAATCCTGGAAAAGTCAGGGAATTTTGATCGAAATCCTGAAAAATTGTTATTTTCTAAAATTTATTCTTGAAATCTAATTTTACATAAATATTTCAAAATTAATTGAATTTTAAAAAGAGAATTGCGTTTACAATTTTCATAAGTACAGATGAATTTCAAAAGATTTTAATTTGAAATTTTCTAAAATTCCAATTTTTGAATAAATTTTATTAGAAATCGTTTTAAAGAACGTAGATTTTTGAAAAAATTTTAATTATTCAAATTCTTCTGAAATCATAGTTAAATTTTTTAAAATATAAATTTTTAATTGATTATTAAAAATAATGGATTTATAGAAGAATTTTAATTAAAAACACTAAAAGAAATTGAATTTTGAAGCTACAAATGATTGCAGAAATTCAATTATTTTCAAAAGTAGTAAAATTCTTCTTAGAAATTCAATTATTTATTTATTTCCAACAATTTTTAAAAATTCATGTCAAAATTTCAATTATTTTCAAAAACTTTCCTCAATGCGCAATAATTTTTAATAAATCTACTACTTTAATAAAATTTTCCAAAAGAATTCAATTATTTCAAAAAAAAAAAATTTTAATAAAATTTTACGTTAAGATTTCATTATTTTCATAAATAATAAAACTCATCGCAGACTTTCAATTATTTTTAATAGAATATTTTAATCGAATTCCTCGAAAAATGAAATTATTCTTAAAAACCTTTGCTACAATTTATTTATTAGAATTTAAGTATTATTTTCTTGACTATAAAGTTTCAATTAAATTTCTTAAAAAAATTATATTATTTTCAAAAATTTTAATGAAATTCTTTGTAACAATTCAATTTTTTTTCAAAATAATTTTAATAAAATTCTTCGCAGAAAATTTTAATAATTTTAAAAATTTGTCAAAATTAAATTATTTTCAATGTCTACTGTAAATATTAATTTAAAAATTAATTTTAGTTAAAATTTTAGATTATTATTGAATATTGAAAGCAATGTAGCGTAAATTTTTTAGAAATAATTGAATTTCCAAAAGGTTTCAAAGTAAAATCTTTGAAAATTTGAACTTTTAATACTTTTAATTAACAATTCTGTAGAATTTATTTTTTAAAAAAACTAATAATAAAATTGTTTAAAAGAGTTTAAATTTCTATTAATAATTTTAATAAAATTTTAATAGATAAATTATTATTAAATATTAATTACAATTATTAACAAAATCGATTATATTCAAAAAATGAAAAAAATTGTTTGAAAACATTCAATCATTTGAAAAAAATTTTTAAGAGTAGATATTCTTCGAAAGAGTTAAATTATTTTTTATGTTTTAATAAAATTTCTTAAATGAATTAAACTATTTTAGAAAATTGTAATAATATTCTGAGAAGAATTTAATTATATTCAATAATTTTTTATAAAATTCAATAATTAAATGTTTAATTTCAATTATTAAGAATAATACGATTATTTTAAAAACTTGAAAGAAATTGCTCATAAAATTCAATTATTTAAAAATTTTCAGTTAAAATAATTAAAGAAATTCAATTATTTTAATAGAATTCAAAGAAATTCTTTGCGAGTTTGAAGTTATAGTTGTTGTTTGCTTCTTTGTTTCCAGACTTTTTTAAAATAACTTTTTTTTCAAATATTTTCAATTTTAAAATTACTGTATTGAAAATCATTGAATTTTTGCGAAGAATTTTACTATTTATAAAAATAATTAAAGAGATTTTAATAAAAATTTTGAAAATAATTGGATTCAATCGAAAACTTTTATAAAAACGTTTAAAAATAATTAATTTTTCTTAAAAACTTTATTAAAACTGTTGAAAATAATTGAATTTTATTTATTTATTATTTTTTAAAATGATTGTATTCTTTCGAGAAACTTTATTAAAATTGTATTAAAAATTTAAAAATAATTGAATTTTTTTGAAGAATTTTATTATTTATAATAATAATTGAATTTTATTAAAATTGAATTAGAAATAATTTAATTCCTCCGAAGAATTTTAATGAAAATAATTGAATTCTTGCGAAGAAATTTATTAAGATTTTTCAAAATAGTTGAATTATTTCCAAGAATTTGATAGAAGTTTAGAAAATAATTGAATTCTTTTGAATAATTTTATTAAAAATTGGAAAAAATTTAAATGAATCTTTTAGAGAAATTTTATTAAAATTGTATTGAAAATAATTGAATTCCTGTAAAGAATTTTACTATATTTATAAAAATAATTGAATTCTTCCGATGAATGTCATTATTTATAAAAAAAATTGAAATTTTGCGAAGAATTCAATCAATGTTTTTGAATATAATTGATTTCTTTAAAGACATTGTATTTAAAATTTTGAAACATTAGTTTTTAAATTCTATAAAAAGTAATTTAATTTTTCAAGAATTTTTGTGAAAAAAATTGACATTATTAAATTTGTATAAACAAAATGTTTTATTTTCTAATTTTTATAGAAAATAATTGAATATTTTACAAGAAATTTCTTAAAAATTTTTGAAAATAATTGAATTATTAATATTAAATCACTTTTAGAATTATTTTAATTGCTTTTTAAATAATTGAATTTTTGAATTCTAATTGAAATTTTTCATGTTTCAAAAAAGTTATTTGAATATTTTTCCAAAAATTTATTAAACGTTTGGAAAATTAATGAATTTTTTAAAGGAATTTTACAAAAAATAAGATTTTAAATAACTAGAAGGGAACGAGAAGGAAAAAATTTAAATAATTGAAAATAATTGGATTTTTGCAAAGACTTTACTATTTAAAAAAATAATTGAATTGTTTCAATGGATTTATTCAAACTTCAGAAAATAATTGAATTCTTTCGTGAAATTTTATTAAAATTGAATTGAAAAGAATTGAATTCCTGCGAAGAATTTTACTATTTATAAAAATAATTGAATTCTTACGAAGAATGTTATTATTTATGAAAATAATTGAATTCTTGCGAAGAATTATATTAAAATTTTTGAAAATATAAACAATAATAAAATTATTAACTATGTTTATAATAAGTGAATTTTTTAAATTTTAATATGAAATTATTCAAAAATTTAAATTTTATAATAAAAAACAAAAGCGTGACTGCCATGATTTTCTAAAAATGAATAAATGAAACAAATAATTTTTTCTTCTTCTCCTCTTTCCTAAGAAGGAAAAATTATATTATATTATTATTTTTCTTTAGAAAAAGAAGAAACAAGAAAGAAATAGTAAAAGAAAAATTAATGATAAAAATTTAATGATTTTTAGGTAAAAATTCAATCAATGAGAAGGGAATGGATCTCGTGGAGAATCACATAAAGAAAGTCTTGAAAGAATCTCCCACGGATATAAAAATAAAAGTCGAATTGGAAGACAACATGATGCAGACGGACGTGTCCGATGACGCGCTAATAGAAGCACCTCGCAACATGAAGAGATCTGCGAACGAAATAAACGAGGTGGAATCAAAGAAACCAAAATATTCCAACGGCACAACGTCCCCCGATCCCGCAGTCGATTCAACGACCGTCGAATCAACGCTCTCTAGTATCAAATCCGAGGATCTCGACGACGACAAGGACGGCGAGAAGGCGACCGTCTCGTCGACAGCGGCGAATCTCTACGCAGCGCTCGCGGCCGACATTATCGAGGACGAAACCGATCTCGAGGATCCAATGCCAATAATTCCCAAGGAGGAATCACTGCCAATGATAAAAGTAGAAGCACCGCAGCAAACTGTCATCAATCAATTCGAACATCAGCAGGCCCATCAGCAATTGATAATGGCACATCCCAGACAAATTATGGTGCAGCAGGCAATTCAGCAGATACAATCAAACAGTCCAATGATCATTCCAACCGTGAAGGGGCGGCAGGCACAGTCGCAACCGCAAGTTCTTTTGCAGCAAGGCGCTGGCGGTCAGTTGCAGTATGTCGTCTCGGGCGGTGTGCCGGGGCAGAACTATGTCCTTGCACAGCCGCAGACGGCGCTGGTTCAGGGCCAAGCGCAGACGGTTCTCGTCGCGCAGACAACGCAGCAGCAAGGCACCGGGGCCAAGACAATAATTATTCTACAACCGCAGACGCAGCACACGCAACCCACCGCGCAGAAAATGGTCGCCGTCACGCCGCAGGGACAACAGGTTGGCAAATATTCACTTTCAAAGGAGAAACGCAATTTTCAAAAATCCAGGCATCACAGTTGGTCATTTTTTCTCCTTTTGTCCCCTTATTTCAATTTTACCCCTTTTTCACTTTTTTTGACGATTTGTCACCTTTTTCCCCTTTTTTGCTGATTTGTCCCCTCTTTCACCTTTTTCCAATAAAAAATTAACAAGTTTTTCTTTTTTTGAAATCTTTTTCAAAGTGTAATCATAAAATTTAGACTCAAAGTTATAGAATTCAGTGCGTTTTATATCTGATTTAGATTATTAACACCACAACATAATATAAATATGTTTTTTTATGTTAATCATTTAAATAATATAGATATCGTGTAAAGAATTTTATAAATTATAAGGTGGTTCATTCAACAGAATGCAGACCTTTGGAAAAATAATTAATTAACATTCAAATAATTCAAATATTATTATTAATAGTTTTTTCTAGAAAAAACAAAAATTCTAATATAAAACCTTCAATTTTTTCCATTTCTGACAATAATTTCTTTTTAAATAACTTAATTCTTGAAGAACTATCATAAAATTATAACTTAGAAATTATTTAATGAATAATTTTATTTATACATTTCAAAATTAATTGAACTTTAAAATACTTTCGTTTACAATTTTCATAAATAGATGAACTTGAAAAGATTTTAACTTCAAATTTTATAAAATTTCAATTTTTAATGAATTTCATTAGAAATTCTAAAGAACTTACATTTTTGCAAAAAATTTTCAAAATTTAAATAATTCTAAAATTAGTTAAATTTTTTAATATATATATTTAATTAATTATTAAAAATAACAAATTTATTGAGGAATTTTAGTTAAAAACACTAAAAAAATTTTAGTTTTGGAGAAGTTTCAAATAATTGCAAAAATTCAATTATTTTCAAAAATAATAAAATTCTTCGCAAAAATTCAATTATATTAAAAAATTTAAAGAAATTCTAGTTAAAATTTCAATTCTCTTTATAAATAATAAAATTCTTCTTCGAAATTCAATTATTTTCCAAAATTTAAATAAAATTCTTTCAAAATTTCAATTATTTGCAAAAATGAATTGAATTTTCCTAAATAAAATTATATTCAATATCTACTATTTTAATAAAATTCTCCAGAAGAATTCAATTACTTTTAAACAAATTTTATCCAATTTCTACGCAAACGTTTAATTATTTTCATAAATAATAAAATAATTTTACAAGAATTCTATTATTTATAAATTTTTTATAAATTTCTTCGCAATAATTCCATCATTTTTATAAATAAACAAACTCATCACAAGAATTCAATTATATTAAAAAATTTTAAGAAATTCTCATCAAAAGTAAAATTATCTTTATTTAAACAATAAAATTCTTCTCCGAAATTCAATTATTTTCCAAAATTTTAATAAAATTCTTGGCAAAATTTCAATTATTTGCAAAAATGAATTGAATTTTTCTAAATTCAATTATATTTAATATCTACTATTTTAATAAAATTTTCCACAAGAATTCAATTATTTAATAAAATTCTACGCAAACGTTTAATTATTTTCATAAATAATAAAATAATTTTACAAGAATTCTATTATTTACAAATTTTTCATAAATTTCTTCACAATAATTCCATCATTTTCATAAATAATGTAACTCATCGTAGAATTTTAATTATTTTTAGTATAATTTTAATCAAATGCCACGAAAAATGTAATTATTTTAAAAATTTTTATTAAAATTCGTCGAAAGAATTTAATTATTTAAAAATTTGTTGATAAAATTATTTATGAGAATTCAATATTAAGAAACATTCAATTATTCAATATAAATTCTTTATTTTTTTATTAACATAGAATGTTTTCAGGACCTTAATTTTGTATTTAAATAATTGAATTCTATTAAGAATTTTCTGATAAAAATTAATTTAAAAATGGATTTCAGTTAAAATTTTCGATTATAATTGAATATTAAAAGCACTGTAGCGTGAATTTTTAGAAATAATTGAATTTTGAAAATGAAATCTTTGAAAATGTGAATTTTTCATATTTTTAACTAACAATTCTGTAGAATTAATTTTTTCAAAAAGTTTAATTGAAATTTTTGAATTTTTTTATTTTCAAATATATATTTATTTGAAGAATTTCTGAATAATCGATGAAATTTCGTAAAATTGAATTGTAAACAAATACATTTGAAAATTCTCAGAATTTTTAAAAACAATTATTGTAAAGAATTGATTTAAAGAAAAATTTTAGTTAAAAACACTATAAAAAAAATTTTAATTTTGTAGAAGTTTCAAATAATTGCAAAAATTCAATTATTTCAAAAAATAATCAAATTCTCCGCAGAAATTCCATTATTTTCAAAAATTTTAATAAAATTATTGGCAAAATTTCAATTATTTGCAAAAATTTTCCTAAATTCAATTGAGACCTTGGATCCAATAACTCGCCCGACGCTCGGAGGAACGCGCAACTGCCAGTCAGTGAGCAGTGAGCGCCTCTGGGCCACTCACTGCTACCCGACTGGTATTAGCGCGTGCCTTCGAGCGTCGGGCGAGTTATTGGATCCAAGGTCTCAATTATATACAATATCTGTTATTTTAATAACATTTCCCACAAGAATTCAATTATTTATGAAAATTTTTAATAAAATTCTACGCAATCGTTTAATTATTTTCATAAATAAAAAAAAAATTTCACAAAAATTCTATTATTTACAATTTTTTTTATAAATTTCTTCGCAATAATTCCATTATTTTCATAAATAATCAAACTCATCGCAGAATTTCAATTATTTTTAATACAATTTTAATCAAATGCCACGAAAATTAAAAAGCAGTTATTGTTGTTTTTGAATAATTTTACAGTTAAAGAAATTCGTAAATAAATGTAATAGAACATTTTTTGAGTATCTAATCATTTTTAGACTGAATCGCAGAATATTCTTTAGGGAAAAAGTCAAAATTTTGTCTTGAAATCAAGGAAAAGTCAAGGAAATTATATTTGCAAGTTGTATAAACAAATAAATTTTTATCCCCTTTTTGATCCCCTTTTTGAGGAAAAAAATTCCCCTTTTCACCTTTTTTGAGGAAAAAAGTACTGTGATGCCTGAAAATCACATTTTTCGTTTATGAAAATTAGTGAAAGTTCCGGTGAATAAATTTAATCACTAATCAGATAGCTACTCAGAATTTTATAAAATGCTTTTTTAAAAATTTATTTCTTGAATATTTAACAATTTTTTTTATCTATTATAATGTGAAAAGATATACTTTAAAACCAATGAAAATGAATGAATGAATGTATGCGAAAGTGAAATTGTGCTGGTATTTTGAACAATAGAAAACAAAAGAAATTTGTGTTGTTAGGTTGTCGTAACGCAAGTTCCGCGACCGATTTTACAGAGTCCCGCACTTGGAAACATACCACCACCTTTGGTTCCCACGTCGGCGGCAATTCCCCAATCAATAATTGTCAACAGTTCGGTGGCACAGAGCAATCAGAACACAGTGACAGTGACGATTCCAGCATTAGCGCAACAATGTCCAGTGACGACGAGTATACCGTCGCGGGTGGTGACGCCGACGCCAGCCTCAACGCCACCGCCAACGAGACCAACGACGCCACATCAGGCGGCAGCCACTCACGCCATCACCATGAAACAGCCAATTAAGATCGTCAAGACCGTTAGCTCTTCCACCTCGACTGAACCTGAATCCAAACCTTCCACGAGTCAACAGACGGAGCCGTCGCCTAAAACAATCACCATTAAAATTGATCCCAATGCATTCTTGTGCGAATGGCGGGGATGTCTCAGGTAAATTTCTTCCTCTTACTTTTCTTCTTCATATTTCTTGCAAATTAACTTTTTTTTACATTTTTCAACCTTTTCCACCTTTTTTGAAATTTTCAGGCCTCGATTATTATAACATTTTCGACTTTTTTCTAATATTTTCAAAAAATGAGACTTTTTTCGACTTATTTTCGAAAATTACGACTTTTTCGACTTTTCTTCCGAATATTGCAATAATTTTTAGTATAAAATGCAACTTATTTGCAAAATTTACAATTGAAAAGAATTTCAATAAATTAATATTGAAATTTTGTAAAATTTAATTGAAAATAATTGATTTTTTTAAAGTGTTTTATAAACATTTTTGAAAATCAACATTTGAAGAATTTTAATTGTAAATTTTGAAAATAATTGAAATTGAATTCCTCGGAAGAATTTAATTTTTAATATATTTTGAATAAATTCAAAATTATTTTCTAAAATCTTCAAAAATCAATTATTTTCAAAACATATTTAATTGAATTTCACGGAAGAATTCAAATATTTTCAAATATTTCGATAAAATTCAATTATTTCCTAAAATTTTTAATAATTTCTTCGAAACAATTCAACTATTTTTTATAAATACTAAATAAATTTTCAAAATTTACAATAATTGAAATTTTATAAAATTAAATTGAAAATAATTGATTTTTTTCAAAGTGTTTCATAAAAATTTTTGAAAACAAACTTTAAAAGAATTTTAATAATTGTAAATTTTGAAAATAATTAAAATTAAATTCCTCGGAAGAATTTAATTTTTAAAACAATTTTTCATATATTTCGAATAAATTCAATTATTTTCTAAAATCTTCAAAAATCCTTCGAAACAATTCAATTATTTTTATAAATGGCAAAATTCTTCGCAAGAATTCAATTATTTTTATAAATAGTAAAATTCTTTGCAGGAATTCAATTATTTTCAAAACATATTTAATTGAATTTCACGGAAGAATTCAAATATTTTCAAATATTTCTATAAAATTCAATTATTTCCTAAAATATTCAATAATTTCTTCGAAACAATTCAACTATTTTTATAAATATTACATACTAAATAAATTTTCAAAATTTACAATAAAACAGAGTTTTAATAATTGAAATTTTGTAAAATTAAATTGAAAATAATTGATTTTTTTCAAAGTTTTTGATAAAAATTTTTGAAAATAAACTTTAAAAGAATTTTATCTAATTGTAAATTTTGAAAATAATTGACTTCTCAAAAATTTTAATAAAAAATCTTCAAGTGTAAATTTAAAAATGGTAATTAATGAAAATTAGCTTCAAAAAAATTATATTAAAATATTTTTGGAAAAAAATAATTCTTAGAATTTTTTGCATTCTAATTTTTTAAATTTCAATTATTTTCAATATTTTCAAATACAAATTTCCAAAAATTCAAATACCTACAAAAAATAACATTAAAATTTTTTACAATTATTTTTAACATTTTAAGATAACAAAAAATAAAATTCTTTAAAAATTCAATTATTTTTTTAATAGAATTTACCAAATTTCTATTGTTTGGAAATTTTTTAATTCTATATAATTGAAAAACTATTATCTTCCGTAAATTATTTTTAAAATAATTTTAAAGAATTAATTTTAAGAATTTCTTTATTATAATTTTTTGAAAATTAATTAATAACTTAAAAAAACATGGACAGTTAGAATCATTATAAAGAACTGAATTTTTGTATTTAAATAATAAATCTGTTTATATTGTGGCCTTAAGGTCACAATATAAACAGATTTATTTGACAAAAATGAAGGTCCTGAAAACATTCTAAGTTGTATTTAAATAATTGAATTCTCTAAGAACTATTTTAATTATAATTCTCTAAGAATTATTTTTTAATAATTTAAAAATAATTGATTTCGAGAAGAAGTTTGATTAAAAATTGTAGAAAATAATTGAATTTTAAGATAATTAAAGTTGTAATTTTAAAAAGTTATTAAATTTCAGAAGGTTTTAAATCGAAATTTTAAAAATTTTATTCCCGTATAAAAAGCAAACAAGAAGTATTTAAATATTTATTTAACGAAATTATTCAAGTTTTAAATAATTAAATTTGTAAATCAGTGAAAGATCAGAAGAATAAAAAATAAAATTTTTGTGACGACACTGAATTAAATAAACGACTTTTTTTTCTATTTTAAATCGACTAAAGCGACTTTTTTTGTTCCTTAAAGTCGATCAGAGGCCTGCATTTTTAATTTAAGGAAAAATGCTTTAGTTGTATCGTCACTGCCTTAGTCATCTGACTACTTTTGTCAGAAATAAAAATAAAAAAATATATTTTACTAGCTAAAATATTTATTAGCATTTCTAATTATATTATAATATAAAAATAGAGATAATCTGTGCTTACATGAATTTCAAAAAGGTTTTAAATTGAAATCTTTGAAATTCTAATAGCTGTAAAAAGTAAAAATACAATAATATTCAAATACAAAAAATTATTAATTTGTTAGCTTTTTTATAAATTAAAAGTTTTTGATAATATTATTCAAAAATTCTGAAAAATAATTGAATTTTGGAACACTTGCAGTTGAAATTTTCATAAAAAATTTTTCAAAAGGTTTTACATTGAAAGTATTATTTAAAAATTTTAAGAATAAAGAACAAAAAGTATTAAAATATTTATTTTTCAAAAGTGATTGAAATTTTTAAGACTTGATTTGGAAATTCTGAAAAAATTAGGTTTTTGAAAAATAGTAATTAAAATTTCAAGATATACTTGAATTTCCGAAAATAATTTTTAAAAAATTCAAACAATTTTAAATTTTGTAAAATTTTATTAAAATAAATTTTATATTTTAAAGAATTTTATTTTTTATCTTTAAAAACTATCTACAAATATAATTCTATTTCTGAAAATTAATTATTTTATGAATTTATAAAAATTACTCAACCTATTTAAATAATTCAATTTTAAAAACTTTTTAAATTAAATTCTTTAAAAATTTAAGGGAAGCAAAAGTATAAAAATAATTAAATTTTTATTTAAAAAAAATATTAATTATACATCATTTTTCTTAAAAAATTCTTAAAGTTTTAAATAAAGTTATACAAAAATTGTAAAAAAAAGTAATTGCATTTTAGAAGAATTACAGTTGCAATTTTTAGAAATAATAAAATTTCAAAAGATTTCTCATTGAAACTATTTGAAATTTTAATTCAGCTGTGGAAAAATGAATAAGAATAAGTTTTTAAATTTTTGTTTAACAAAAAGTATTGAAGTTTTGAGTAATTGAATTTAGAAATTCCGCTAAAAAGTGACGATTACTAGGGCATCGAAAAAATTTTTCTTTCTTTTGCATTTTATGGTTACATTGATTAAAATTCAATGAAGTGAAAAATAATTTTCTATTTTAGACAATTTAAGACTTCGCACGATGTTTATCTTCACGTGTGCGAAGCGCATTGTCCAAATGGAGGTGAAGAAATTCTCTGTCTGTGGTCGAGTTGTGACAATCTTAAACGTCGTCGTTTCTCACTTATGACTCATTTATACGACAGGCACTGTAATGGAGATGTGAGTTCAATATTTCAAAATTATTTCATTTTTATTATAAATTATAATAAAATTAATATAATAATGAGAAAATTTGTTTCCTTAAAGGTCATGTCGGTGAGGCGAAAACAATTGACGCTTTCGGGTAAGACGGAAGTGTTAACGACGTCAGCGCCAGTGACGACGGCGGCGCCCATCTCAACGTCTCAACATCCTGGTTACGCGCCTAATGCGGCTTTCCACGCGATCAAAAGGCACGCCCTGGAGTTCGTCAATCCAAAAGAATTAATGGTAAGTCTCATTTCACGTGAATTAATAAACTCGAAAAATTGTATGTATGCATTCTTCAAAATTATGCGAATCAAAAATTTCTATATATATATTGACAATATTTATTATTGAAACCTCAGTTGTATAATTAAATATAACTATTTTATCCAGTCAAGAACCTTTTTCTTTATCTTGTTATTTATATGCCGAAGAGGGTCTCTTTCAGTTCAATTTATAATTTTTATCAAATTTTATACACAATTTTACTATACATTAGATTATAATCCATTAGATTATCATCTAATGTAAAGTTTACCTAAAATAATGCATAAAATTGATTAATAATGACAGGAGTCGAACCAGAGAAAGTATTTAAAAATACGGACTGTACGGACCAAAAATGAAAAATTACTGACCATTTACGGACCAATTACTGACAAAAATATAATCAGTCTTCTTCGGAAGAATTCAATTATTTTCATAAGTAATAATATTCTTCGGAAAAATTTAGTTATTTTTATAAATAATAAAAGTTTTTTAAAAAAATTCAATTATTTTCAACAAAATTTTAATAAATCCTTAGAAAAAATTCAATTATTTTTTAAAATACTATAATCTTTGCAAAAATTCAAATTATTATCAATAAAATTGAATTCTTTAAAGGATTTCAATTATTTTCAAAAATTTTAATAAAATTCTTCCTAAAAATTCAATTATCTTCATAAAAAGTAAAATTCTTTTGAAGATTTCAATTATTTTCTTATAAATAATAAAATTCTTTGGAGAGTTTCAATTATTTTCAAAAATTTTAATTTTACCTTCATAAAAAATAAAATTCTTTAGAAGTTTTCAATGATTTTTATTAATAATAAATTTCTTTGGAGGATTTCAATTTTTTTCTCAAATTTTGAAACAAATTCTTGTCAAGAATTCAATTTTTTCATAACTAACTGAATTCATTAAAGGATTTCAATTATTTAAAAAAATTTTTAATAAAATTCTTCCTAAAAAATCCAATAATCTTCATAAAAAGTAAATTTTTTTTGAAGATTTCAATTATTTTGTTAAATAATAAAATTCTTTGGAGAATTTTAATTATTTTCAAAAATTTTAATAAAAAATTCTTCGCAAAAATTCAATTTTGATCATAAAAAGTAAAATTCTTTTGAAGATTTCAATTATTTTGTTAAATAATAAAATTCTTTGGAGAATTTTAATTATTTTCAAAAATTTTAATAAAAAATTCTTCGCAAAAATTCAATTTTGATCATAAAAAGTAAAATTCTTTTGAAGATTTCAATTATTTTCTTAAATAATAAAATTCTTTGGAGAATTTCAATTATTTTCAAAAATTTTAATAAAATTCTTCGCAAGAATTCAATTTTGATCATAAAAAATAAAATTCTTTGGAAGATTTTAATTATTTTCATTTATAATAAAATTCTTCGTAAAAATTCAGTTATTTTTATAAACAATAAAACTTTAAAAACTTTTTTAAAAAAATTCAATTATTTTTAACAAAATTTTAATAAATCCTTAGAAACAATTCAATTATTTTTTTAAAATATTATAATCTTTGCCAAAATTTAATTATTATCAATAAAATTTCACGAAAGAATTCAATTTATTTCTTAATTCGTTATAAAATTTTCCAAAAGAATTCAATTATTTTCAAAACTATCTTAATACAATTTCTACTTACAAAGAATTTAAATTTTCATCCAAACAATTATATTATATATTTAAAAATTTGAATAAAAATCTTTGCAAGATTTCAATTATTTTCATAAATAATAAAATTTTTCAAAAGATTTCAATTATTTTCAAAAATTTTAATAAAATTGTTCCTGACAATTTTAATTATTTTCATAAATAATAATATTCTTCGGAGGATTGCAATTATTTTCAATACAATTTTAATAAAATTTTTCGCAAGAATTTCATTTTGATCATAAAAAATAAAATTCTTTGGAATATTTTAGTTATTTTCATTAATAAAATAATTGAATTCTTCAAAAGAATTTTATAATTCTTTTGAAAAGTTTAATTATTTTTTTAAATAATAAAATTCTTCAGAGGATTTCAATTATTTAAAAAAATTTTAATAAAATTTTTCGCAAGAATTCAATTATATTTAGAAATATAAAATTCTTTAGAAGATTTCAATAATTTTGGTTAATAATAAAATTCTTTGGAGGATTTAATTTTTTTTTTAATTTTAAAACAAATTCTTGTCAAGAATTCAATTTTTTCATAAATAATAAAATTTTTTAAAAGATTTCAATTATTTCCATAAAAAATAAAATTTTTCAAAAGATTTCATTTATTTTAAAAAATTTTAATAACATTTTTTCTAAAAATTCAATTATCTGCATGAAAAGTAAAATTCTTTTGAAGATTTCAATTATTTTCATAAATAATAAATTTTTTCAAACGATTTCAATTATTTAAAAAAATTTTAATAAAATTCTTCCTAAAAATTAAATTATCTTCATAAAAAATAAATTTTTTTTGAAGATTTCAATTATTTTCTTAAATAATTTACTACTTAAATAAATAAATAAAAAAATTCTTTGGAGAATTTCAATTATTTTCAAAAATTTTAATAAAATTCTTCGTAAGAATTTAATTTTTATCATAAAAAATAAAATTATTTGGAAGATTTTAATTAGTTTTATTAATAATAAAATTCTTTTAAAGAATTCAATTATTTTCTTAAATATAATAAAATTCTTCCAAGGATTTTAATTATTTTCAAAAATTTTGAAACAAATTCTTGTCAAGAATTCAATTTTCACATAAATAATTAAATTCTTTAAAAAATTTCAATTATTTTCAAAAATTTGAATAAATTCTTGTCAAGAAATACTTTCGATGTAAAATTCATCGTAAAAATTAAATTATTTTTTATAAATAATAAAATTCTCTTGAGGAATTCAATTATTTTCTATATATAATTTTAATAAATTTTAAAAATCAAATATTTTATTATTATTATTAACGGCCATGATTATTTTAAAAAGATGAAAAAATTCTTTGTTTAATTTAATTATTTTTAAAAATTTTCAATTAAATTTAATCAAAAAAATTACATTATTAAAAAAAACACAAAGAAATTCTTCAGAAGAAATTAATTATTTACAAAAACTCTAATGAAAATTGTTTAAAAGAGTTTAATTTTCTATGAATAATTTTAACAAAATTTTAATAGTAAAATTATATTAATTACAATTAATAATAAAATTATTAATGTAGATAATTAATTTTATTCAGTAGATTAAAGAAATTTTTTGAAAGAATTCAATTATCGTCAAAGCCTTTAATATTGTCTATTCTTCGAAAAAATTTTATTATTTTCTAAAAATTTAAAAAAAAAATCCGCTTAGACTATGAAATAGTTTTAATCATTTTTTTTAACTACGGACGCAGGAAAACCGCAGAGGGAAGAAGAAGGTCGCATTAGCGACAGAGTCGGAGCGCCACCCTCGAAGGCTAAAGTCTTACGACAGTTCCGAGGGAGGGTAAAGGGCTCCAGAAAAAGGGTTACGGGTTTTAGTGGGTCGGGCTGGTAGTAGGTCGCCAGTTTATTAAATTTATTATAACATTTATTTATTTATCTTTTTTTAATATTTCCTTTTGTTTCATTGTACCAACCCCACATAACCTTGGAGTGCGGAATCCAAGGTATCTGTAGGCAGATTTCCCAAAAGTCCCTAAGAAAAAAAAAATAAATAATAATAATAATAATAATAATAATAATATCAATAACAATAATATATTGTAAAAATATTTAAAAAAGCTAATAAACATTTTTACTTTTTCCTATAAGTTATATGCGCAGGAATGCAAGGCGAGACTAAAATAATGTTTACCTGCGGAATTGGAACGTAAGACCCTCTTGACAGAAAAAATATTTTATTTGTTTTTTTTTCGTTTCGTCATATTATTCTTGTCATAAAGAAAAGGTTTTGTCGATATTACCTAAGCCCCAAAAAAGCTACCTAAATAAATTACAAAACTCTAAGCACAAGTAAATGGCTCCTCTTTCCCGGATTGAAACTAAAAAGGTACTTTGTCTAGTCTCAATTTTAATTTAGGACTTTCTGCATTAACCAACTGAGATCAGAAAATAAAATAATTGCGGCCTTGAGATTTCAACTTTACTTTTCACTTCAAGCTCTTCAGGATCTTTTTTTTTTTTAAGTATTACCTTCTTTTTAGAACAAATTTTAAAAACGAAAATAAGGATTTAAAAATTTTTGTATGGAGACGCATGAATATTCCCTTGAATTCATTTGATCGAAATTCTGTCAGTGAATTAAATTTATATGAAGTGTGGTATTTTTATTTTTGAGGAAAATGGAAAAAAATTTTAATCAGAACAAAGAAAATAGTTCTTTTTAAATCCTTGATCAAAAACTCGGGTTTAAAAAGATGTAATTAAGAGAGAAAAGCAAAAAAAAAGTTTAAATAAACTTTATATGGTATTTATAATAACTTTCTAATAAATTTGAAAATTTCGTTAAAAAAACAAAAAAAAAAACAAAAAAACAAAAAAAAAACAAAAAAATTTTGAAAAAAGGACAAAACATGTATTTTATGGAAAAATATCAGAAACTTTTTTATTGAAAGTTGTATTTTTTTAAGATATACATAAAGTCTCGAAAATAATTTTTAAAAAATTGAAACAATTGGAAATTTTGTAAAATTGTACTAAAATAAATTTTATATTTTAAAGACATTTCTTTTTTCATCTTTAAAAATTATCTATAAATTTAATTTTATTTTGAAAATATATTATTTTATGAATTTATTCTTTTTAAATAATTCAATTCTCCTAGTTGAATTCTAATAAGAATTGATTTTTTAAAAAATTCAGTAAAAATTTTAGAAAATAATTGTTTTAATTAAATTTAAAAATATTTTTTAATTAAATTCATTGAAAATTTGAGGGAAGAAAAAGTAGAGAAATATAAAAAATTTTTATATTTTAAAAAATTATTAATTACATTATATTTCTTTAAAAAATTCTTAAAGTTTCGAATAATTTTATTCAAAAATTCTAAAAAAATAATTGAATTTTGTCAGAATTACAGTTGCAATTTTCAGAAATAATTAAATTTCAAAAGGTTTTTCTGATTGAAATTATTTGGAATTTTAATTCCTGTGGAAAAATAAATAAGAATAAGTTTTTAAATTTTTATCCAAGAAAAAGTATTGAAGTTTTGAAAAAAAATTCGGAAAAAATTTATTTCTTAAAAAAATGTAATTAAAATTTTTTTAAAATAATTTTACTTTCGAAAATAATTTTAAAAAATTAAAAAAATTGAAACATTTGTCAAATTTCATTGAAATAAATTTTATATTTAAATGAATTTTATTTTCATTATGATTTATTAAATTACAAATAGTTAACGGAATAAATTTTTCAAACAAGGTTTAAATGATAAATTTTTATTTTTCTTTTTGACTTAAATTTTTTATGCAGTTTATGAAAAAATAACAAATTGTTTAAACGATTTTATAATTTTTTAAAAATACTTATTGTTATTAAAAAAATGTTCAAAAATAAAAAAGAAAGAATAACAACAAATTGTTTAAACGATTTTATGATTTTTTTTTTAAATACTTATTGTTATTAAAAAAATGTTCAAAAATAAAAATTTAAAAATCGAGCTCTACAGATTGATACAGAATTTATTAACGAAGATTAAAAAAAAGAAAAGTTGTTTTGGTTAAAAATTGTAGTAATAATAATTAATTAACGATAGTAATAATTAATACCACCTTTATGAACTTTGAAACACTTGAAAATCGAATTCAAGATTCTTAGGGAAAATTTAAGTGTCTTTTTGTATGTGTGCTCTCTTTTATAATGTTGTCAATAATTTATAATAATAATATTAATAAAAAATAATATCAATAATAATAACAACAATAACAATAATAAAATAGTAATTATAAAATTAATAATAATATTAATAATTGATAATAAAAATAATATTAATAATAATTATGACAATAATAAGAAAAAACAGTATATTAATAAATAATCTAAAAAAAATGTTGTTTTTGATCTCTCGAAAAATATACTTGAAACTTAACTGACTTTCTTGTTCTCTTGGCAAAGCAGCAAAGGCCAACTAAGCCCGCTGCAGCCATCACAAGCACTTCTTCTCCCAGACCTGGGCAAAATCCTCCGCCAGAACAGGTAAAAAATAGTTGAGAAAGATGACTGTGGAAATAAGAGGGAAATGAAAATTATGAAAAATAATTTTTTACATCCACAGTCTCTCTCTTTCTTTCACTCTCACACTTTGTGTCTGTGTTTCTGTGTTCAGCTATACCTTTTTTGCTTGCTTCTTCACTTTTTTACTTTTTTTTATCTCTCATCTCTCGCTTTATTGATTCCTTTTATTTTATTTTTACACTTTATTCATTTTTATTATCTTAAAAATATCGTTTTAATAAATGAAATGAAATTGTTATTAATTTTTTTTTCTTATTTTCAGGACCATTTTCAGATTCTGTTGAATTATACAATATAATTTGCTTTATCATGCCGTAGAAATTTATTCTTTTTTTTATTTATTTTAATATTTTATATATTATATATTAAATATTTATTTAATGTATTAATATATTTTGCATGTAAATCACAAAAAAAATGTTGCCTTTTAACTTAGTTGTCGTTTTTATTTTTTTTTGCAATTTGGCAAAAAATTTAACGATTAATTTTGTAAATTGTTACGTATTTATATATTTTCTCCACTTTCTAATCGATTGTTTGTTTATTAAAATTTCCAGGCCTCGGATCGACGTTAAGGTGCAGAAAAATTCGCTTTAGTCGATTAAAGATTTTTAAAAAAATCGAAAAAGTAATTTTTTCATTCATTATGGTCACAAAAATTTTATTTTGTATTTTTCAATCTTCACGCAATTTCCTAACTTTAATTATTTAAAAATTAAAAAAATTCTGCTTTATAAAAATATTCAAATACTTAGTTCTTCTTCTACAGAGATTTAAATTTGTCAAAATTTTAATTTCAAACATTTTGAAATTTAATTACTTTTCTAAAAAATTAAAACAGAAATTCTTCCAAAATTCAATTATTTTCAAGAATTTTCAACTAAACTTCTTCTCCAAGTCAATTATTTTTAATAATTCAAGTGTAAAAGTTCAATTTTTGGTAATAATTGTAACTGCAATGGTTCATCAATTCTTTTTAAAGTTATTAAAGTGAATTAGTAATTACTTACAAAATATATAAGCAAAAATATTGAAAAAAATTATAATAAAAAGATATCTTAAAATTAGTTTTTCAAAATATTTTAAAATAATTTTTGAATGATAACAAATTTTTTTAATACATAAGTATAATTTAAAAATTTCTAAATAAAATTGAAATTAAGTAAACAATTTTTCACGATAATTGAATTTTTTAAAGAATTTTTAGAAAATATAAAAAAATTATCAAGCTTTTGAAGAATATTATCCAAAATTTTTTGGAAATATAAATGAGATTGTTTAAAAAATTTGTAGACAATTTAAAAAACTAATCAATTTTCTGAAGAATTTTAGTGAAAAATTTTTAGATTAAATCATTTTTTACTTTCATTTTTTCATCAAAAAGCTTTTTAGAATTTAATAATTTTTTTAAAAGTTGCAAGCTAAATTTTTCAAAATTTGATTTTCAAAAATTTTAATGAAAATACTTGAAATAAACGAATTATTTTTTGAATAAAATTTTTACAAAATTTAAATTATTTAAAAACTTTCAGTTTTAATTTTTGAAATATTTGATTACCGTTATTTTTTTTTACACTATAAAATTCGAAATAATTTGCATTTTATTCCAAAATGTGATGTTTTTTTGCAATATTTGGAAGTAAAGTCGAAAAAGTCGTATTTTTTGAAAATAAGTCGAAAAAAAGTCGAAACTATCCGAGGTCTGAAATTTTTATTTATTCGTTTCGTTGATTATGAAAAATTATTCGTTTCAGATAAACGAAAATTCGAATAAATGGATTTTTCTTTTGAAAAATAAATAATAATCTATTCGAAATCAATCAATTGGAAAGTGAAAATAATTTTTACTTTATTTAATTTATTATACATTTTGTGAATTACATGTAAATTATAATTAATATCCGTATAAGAAACTTTGTTTGCAAATATTTTTTTTTTTTGAAGAAATTGTGTATCTATTTTGAACTGTTTTGAAAAAAGTGCAATTTTATCAAATTCTTCTGGATTTTATTTCTCAAGTGCAATTGTGTTTTTGTATTTTTAATTTTTTCTAGGAATTTGTTTTTCACTTTAATTTTCTCTTTGACTGATTTTTACCTTGTTTATGATTTTTACTATTTTTATTGATTAAATTAATTTAATGACGTTTTTTTTTAAATATTTTTATTTACATAATTAAATGACGTTTCTTAAATATTTTAATTTGAATAATTTAATTATAGAAAAATATATTTATTATAGAATTATTTTTATGTTCTGTGAAAATAAAATTAAAAGTGAAATTTAAAATTCAACTACACAATTTCACCTCAAAAATAAATAAATAAAATTTTACAAAACATTTTTTATAAAAGTACTGATTTTACTTTTAGTGCTTTGATTTATTTTTCGATAAAAATTGCTAGTTTTTTATACGTATGCCAAAATAATATAGAGTTGAAATTATCACACGTATCATAAAAATTTAAAGTTCATTTAATTCATTTTAATATTTAAAGTGTAACGTGGAACACATAACATTTTCATCGTCTTTCATTTTATACACTACTTTTTATAATTTCCTCACAAAGAAAATTAAAATTTAGAAAATTTTTAATTATTTTCGATTGTTCATTTAAATTAAATTAAATTATACTAAATTTATTTATTCTGTTGAATTTTACAGTAGTAAATTTGTTTTTACTAATAATAAATTAATTTTATTTTATACTTTTATTTAATTTCATTTTATTAGTTAAAATTCCTTTTTTTAATTTCTCTAGATTTAAAAAAATACAACTAGAGAAAAGAGAAAATTAAAGAATTTTAGATTTAGAAATATTTGCTTGAAGTGTATTTTCATTTGGCATGCTTTTTTTGTATCTAATTTGCACTGAATTTGTTTATTTGCAGGCTGAAAAATTATATTTTTGAAAAGTAAATAAATAATTTTGCACGAATTTTTCAAATAAAATGTAGAAAAACAAAAGGAAAGGAGAAAAATTTGTAAATAATTAAAAAATTTTTTGCAAAATATTTCTTTCTTTCTTAGGGAGAGCAAAATTATTTGAATTTATTATCATTTGTGAAAAAGAATTTATACTATTTTTTGCTTTGGTTTTTCTTTTGCAGGATGACAACGAAGGTCCAGTGACCAAGAGTATTCGTTTGACAGCAGCTCTTATCCTTAGGAACCTAGTCATTTACTCTGCGCATGGCAGAAGGTATGTTTCATTCATTATTTTTATTGTTTTCCAAATTATTATATTTAAATTTTTCGAAGAAATTCAATCATTTTCAAAAGTTTTAATAAAAAATTCTTGTAAATATTTCAATTTTTTTCAAAAATTTTAATAAAAATTCTATGAGAAAAAGTAAAAAAAAATTAATCCCTGAAAACGACTTTTTTTGAAAATTTGAACTACTTTAAATACTCTAATAGTTAAAATAAAAAATTATTCTCAAAAATATTTAAAAAGTTCTTAGAAACAATTGTCTACAAATTTTAATAAATTTCTTCAAAGGAATTTAATTTTTTTCAATAATTTTAATAAAAGTTTTCGCAAGAATTTAATTTTTTTCACAAATTATAGAATTTTTCACAGGAATTCAATTTTTTCAAATATCTTTTATTTTAATTAACGTTCTCGAAATAATTCAATTATCTAAAAATTTTTTAATAAAAACTCTCTGAAAGAAATTAATTTTTTTTCAATAATTTAAATTTTTCACGCAGAAATTCAATTTTTAGAAAAAATTTTTGTAAATTTCATTGCAAGAATTCACTCATATTCATAAATAATAAAATTCTTTGCAGGATTTCAATTATTTTTATTATAATTTTAAATAAACTCCTCGAAAAATACAATTATTTTTAAAAATGTTATTAAAATTTTTCGAAAAAATTCAATAACTTTCAAAAATGTTGATGAAATTCATTATAAGAATGAAATTTTAAGAAATAATCAAATATTCAATGAATTATTTATTTTTATATTTAAATAATTTAATTCTCCTAGAACTTTTTATTAAGAATTGACTAAAAAATGAATTCCATTAAAGATTTTAGATAATAATTAAATATTAGTAGCATTATAGTAAAAACTTTTTGAAATTACTTAAATTTTATAAGATTTTTAACTTGAAATAATTGGAAAGTTTTAATTGTTGTAAAACTTTAATAATATTCAAATTTTTATTTGAAAATTTTATTTTATTTTGAAGATAGTTTAATTCTTGTAAATAATTTTAAAATAAATTAAATTTCCATTTAATTGAAAATGTTTCGTCAAATTTAATTCAAATAAATTATTTATTTGAAAGAATTTAATTTTATTACTTTTAAAAATCATTTTTAAATGTAAAATTTGGAAAATAATTGAATTTTACAAAAATTGAATGCAATTATTTTCATAAATAATAACATTCTTTGGAAAAATTCAATTATTTTTATAAATAATAAAATTTTTTGCAAAAATTCAATTATTTTCAACAAAACTTTAATAAATTTTCTCCGAAGAATTCAATTATTTCTTTATATACTTAGTAAAATCTTTGCAAAGATTCATTATTTTCAATAAAATTTCACGAAAGAATTCAATTTTTTTTCTTAATATTCGTTTTAAAAATTTCCAAAAGAATTTAATTATTTTCTCAAATTTTAATAAATCTTTCGAAACGATTCAATTATTTTTATAAATAGTAAATTTTTTTGCAAAAATCCAATTGTTTTCAACAAAAATTTGATAAAATTTCTGTAAAGAATTCAATTATTTTCTAAAATTTTTATAAATCCTTCAAAACTATTCAACTGTTTCTTTGAATAGTAAAATTCTTTGCAAAAATTTAATTATTTTGAAAAAATAGTGCAACTGTACTGTTTTCAAAAAATTTTCAAAAGAATTTAATTATTTACAAAAACTCTAATAAAATTGTTTAAAAAAGTTTAACTTTCTATCAATAATTTTAATAAAATTTTAATAGTGAAAATTAATTACAATAATTAACAAAATCGATTATTTTCAATAAATTAAAGAAATCTTTTGAAACAATATTTAATTATTTTCTATATTTTAATAAAATTCCTTGAATGAATTAAATTATTTTAGAAAATTGTAATAAAATTCTCAGAAGAATTTAATTATTTTTAAAAAATTTTAATAAAATTCTATCTTTATTTTCAATTATTAAGAAACACGATTATTTTAATAAACTTAAAAAAATTCAAAGAAACCCTTCAAAAAATTTTTTTTTTAAATTTTAATAAAATCCTTCGCAAGAATTCAATTATTTTCATAAATAAAAAAATTCTTCGAAGGAATTTAATTATTCTCAAATTTTTTGATAAAATTTATTTTACAAGAATTCAATGATTTTCAATACATTAATTTTAAAATTGAAAATATTTAAAAAGAAAAATTATTAAAAAAAAGTTTGAAAACAAAAAAGCAAACAACAATTAACTTCAAAGTGCAAACGGATTATCGGAATACAACGATTATTAATATAGATTTAAGAAGATTTATTTCTTAAACAGGAAAATAGCCTTGAAATAAATTATTTAATAGAATTATGCAATTTATTTTATTATTAAAAAAAAATTGTTTATATTTTCAGACACTTAAGAGCTTATGAACCACATTTGGCGGGAGTGGCGCTGAGCAACGTTGAATCATCCCGTACAATTGCACAAGTTCTTTACGACATGAACGATCAGAGTAACAGCAGTCACAGGTGACCTTTCGAGACGGGCCTCTGATCACTTCAGTTTTACTAAAAAGAAAAAAACAAAAACAAAAAATGAGCAGCGATCAATTTCACAAGTTCTACTGCGTAAAAAAGTTTCACCACCTGGTAGTGAGAAGAAATAACTTTTCAAATAGGTGATAAACTTTTCTCGAGGACAAAAAAAACAACATAAATAAAAAATTCATAAAAATCAACAAAAAAAAGACCGTAAAAAAACAACAAATAAAAATCAATCGGACTAATAATGTTCCGTACACGTAGTTGATATTATATGTACGTTAATTAAGAATATAAAGAAAAATGAAAACAAGAGAAACAAAAGAGGCCTACAAAACTTATCTTAAATAGGCAAAATGTATTTTGCCAAAAAAAAAACTTTTTACTTTGAAGAATGTTAAAAATCCTAGGAGAAAAAAAAAATGTTTTTCGCGGGTGTAAAAGCAAAAAAGAAAAGAAAACGCGGAACAGTGATAAAAAAAAAATAATGCGAGGCAAGATTAAACTATTCAGATTTAATGTTAATATTTATTTTCTCAAACGAGCAGCGAATGTTTTTAGTAAATATGTAGAAATCAATTTATGGCGAAGAAGATACTTTACGGACGTTATAGATAATTATAAACATTAACACTATTATATGGACTACGTTTCGTTTCTTTTTTCTTCTTCCCATTTCACATTAATTCTTTAAAAAGAAAAAAAATAATTCTTCAGTACTGTTTCTTTTCTTTTTAGTTTCTCATCGACTTCTTGTTTTATACAAGTCACCGGAAATCTAGACTGTAAAGGAACTTTTTATTGAATGTGTTTGTTAGGAGTCTGTAATTATTATTATTATTATTATTATATTATTATATTATTATTATTATATTATTATATTATTATATTATTATATTATTATATGATGATGATGATTATTATTTTATTATTAGTTATTAATTACTATTATTAGATAATTGCACATTGCAATTATATGGCTATTATAATTTTGCGTATGATTCTTGTGCTCGAAACGTTTCCCGCTGTTTCAATTTTTTTTTATCCAAAAGAAGTTCTTATTTTCTCTTCTAGTTTGGAAATATTGCTCTCAAGTTAAAAACAAAGCAATTGATGTTTTTTTATAAATATATATTAATATATAGTTTTTTACGAAATTAGATTTGAAGTTTTCGAAATTGAAGCTTTAAAATATCAACTGTTGTTAATTTAAGTTTCATGATAATGGAAATATTTTGAAAGCTTTTAATTTGTGAAATAAATTTTTGATTTTTTTTCAAAGAAAAGAGAAAACTCTTAGGTTTTTTTTGAAAAAAGGCGCGCGTCTTTTAAATTCTACTAAAACCTGTGGGTTTTAAATTTTATTTCAAACAGATGAATTTTTTTTTAATATCGTGACACTTTAATTTTTTTGTAAATTTTCCGATTCGTTTTAATTATTTATTTTTACGTTTTCCATTGTATTTGGTCTAATTTTTCCTTTATATTTCTTATTGAATTGAATAATTTTTTAATTAATTTTAATTATTTACTGGAGTTTAATAGCTACATTTTTTGTTATCAAAGTTTTTTATCTTGATAAAATTTCGTTTTTTATAATTCTATTCTGCCTGTTTTTTTTTTTTTTTTTTTGAAGAAGTAAAATGATAAAATCTAGGAAAGAAATTTTTAATAACGACAAAAAAAAAAATGGAAAGTTATATTAATGTTCAAATTAGTTCGTCTGTTTTGAAATTTATTTAAACTTGAGGAAAAGTGGAATTTTAAAGATAACGTAAACATGAATTTAGAAGAAAAATTTACTACAAGGAATGTCAAAAAAAGAAAATGATTCCTTCCGTTGAAAATGAAATACAATTTATTTTGTGAATCAAACATTTCATAGATCGAGTTTAAGCCATGTTTTTCTTCGATTTTCGCTGCGAGTGAATCATTTTTTGTGTTTGTTCTCTTGACTCTTTTTTTTTTGTACGCGTATGAATATTTTTTTTTGTTGTAAAAATAAGGGGGAAAAAAAGAAAAAGAATTTATGTTTTGCTGTTACAGCAATTTTTATAATTGTGTACTATGAATGAAAAAGAAAATCGTGACATCATACATACGTGTATGTATAAATAATTATTATAAATATATTATTATGTATACATGTATATGCATTCATGTCTATGTGCATATATTTGTATATAAATTATTGCGAATAAAAAATCAAGCCGACATTATGAGATGAATATTCATATAAAAAAATATATATGTGTATATTCATATATATATAAACTTGTAAATAACGTAATTCATTGACTGTGTAAAATTCTAAATGTAGGTATGAGAGCGTCTGTAACGAATGCCTAGCGGCTGTTTTCTGTATTATAGTAGTCATTTGATATAAAGCAGATGAGAAAAAAAAATGTATCCGAAAAGATTTTTTTATTGATAAATATGCCCTATTAAATATGAAAAAGAAAAGGAAAACTATTAAAACTTCGACGAGACAAACGAAAATCGGTTTATCAAATTATTTCTACTTTACTGCTTTATACATACATACATACATTAAATATATTTTTAATATAACTTCATTTTTCTTTTATTTTTTTTAAATATTCCCTAAGAATTCAATTTTTTTAAATTCTTAATTTATCTCTAAGAGATATCACATTTTTTTGCTTTATAAATAATTAAAAGTTTTTCTTATTATATTCAAAATATTTTGTTAAAAAATTTGTCAAAAATTTATGTTTAATTAAACTTTTTTTTATTAATCACCTTACAATTAGTTTAAGATACTTTTGAATATGATTTTTTTTATAAAAATTTTTTTTTAAATCACTTTTTTATATACTACACGTTAAATAATTCCTTAAAATTTTTGATACAAAGATATATTTTCTAGATAATTTCGATTAAAAATTAATAAAAATTGTAAAGATCTCATTCCCTCCAAAAAGTAATTGTAATTTAAACCAAAAATGTAAAATATTTTCCTTGACTAGGATATCTAAATATATGTATATATGTATAAAAAAATTACTTTTGAAAAAAAATTACGAAAAAAAACTGTACAAAATATTGATTTTCGTTCGTCTCATACGAATCAAAGTTTTTGTTCCAGTTTTTCATCGAAGAATGTGTTAATAAATATTAAAAAAAAAAAATGGGAGAAAACGAAGAATGCAAATATGTTCTATTTTAAGATCTATTCCTATTTTCTTTTTGTAATTATAAATATCTCAATTTACTTTAAAAAAAGAAGAAAAAAATTTTTTATATCTTTCTTTACTTGTAATAAAATGGAAAAAAAATGGTGTGAAATTGTGTAACTCAGTTGATGAGGGTACGAATGAAGAATAAAAAAAAAAAGAATCGTGTGATTACTTAAATTAAACGAAATGATTGTAAACGACGAAACTAAATGTATCTGAATTTTTTTTTACTGTTTTTCGAAGTCGAATGAGAGAGAATTAAAGATGTGAATGTTAGAATATTGCAATTGAGTGATCATCTAAGTAAGATCATTGCCGTATTGTCATTTATCAGATTTGTCATCTAGAAATGTGCATTACGAAGAAAATTTAAATATAACAATTATACAATTACAATGTTTATTTATTTTAATTTTTCATATCCCAAAAAACTTTGCAAGAATTAAATAAAATTTTAAAAAGCAGTAAATATACTATATTGCCGTCCTAATTTGAAAAGTCTGAAATTTCAAATTTTTACCCCCTATTATTTTCTAGGGGGATAAATTGATCTAAAAACAGAATTTTTTCGATTTTTTGAGAAAAATGTTGATGAAAAAACCCTTAATGAAGAGAATCTCGTTTGAATTTCTAATTTATGTAAAATATGTAAAATTGCAAAAATGGTGTAAAATTTAAAAAAAATTTTTTTAATTTTCTTCGAAAATTAACTACAAGTTCTGAAAATTTTTAATTATCTTATATTATGTAACAATACCCAAAAGGAATTTTTGCAATAACTATAATACATTTTTTACAATAAGAGTTTAAAATAGTGTGTTTTTTGACCAGTTCTGCATAAGAAAGTCCCCTTAACTTAAAAATAAAATAAAATATGTTATACACAACACATAGCAAATTCTAATAATTTTTTTACATTTTCTGTCCGACATATTGCTTCCGCCATTTTGAATTTTCTAATGAATATATTTTCTCCAAAAAATTAGTAAATATTATTTGAAAAGTTAGGAAATAATCTCCAAAATTGTAATGAATATAATTCTTCTCACAAAATAGTTGAATATCATCCAAAAAATAATAAAATTTCTCTTAAATTTTAAAAGATATACTAAATTTCCTTGACGAAAAAAATTTTAAAATAACTCTTCGCAAGAATTCAATTATTTACACAAATAATAAACATTCTTCGGAAGAATTCAATTTTTTTTATAAATAGTAAAATTCTTCGCAGGAATTGAATTATTTTCAAAATTTTTTTTACGAAAGAATTCAATTATTTTCTGAAATTTAAATAAATCCATTGAAACAATTCAATTATTTTTCTAAAAAGTAATATCTTTGCAAACATTCAGTTATTTTCAATTATTTTAATTTTTTACATCTCTTTTTCTTCTGGTTATTCAAAATCTTTTTTCTGTAAAATTTCTTAAAAAATTCCTAAATTTTCAAAACGTTTAATTAATTTCTTGAAAAATATATTCAAATATTTTCTTTAAAACATGAAAAATTTCAAGCCCGGTGTAAAGCTTGAAATTTCAATGCTTCTTTATGAATTTTTTTAAGTGGGTAAATAACAAAACGATCGTTACGAAATTAAGGGGGAGTTCTCTTGTAAGAGTGGTACAGTTCACATCGTGTCTGTGTATAATATTAAAGTTTTTCGCGGATAAGTAACATTATCAGCGTTCACAAACTAAAACGCATATAGTTTATCGTCTACATTTAAAGTAATACTTGTTCATTGAAAAGATCCTCGGTACTTCGGTGCTTTTGGCACAATCGCCGATTTCCTCGGCGCTGAGGAGCGCGTCACCTCGTTGTCCAGCACGGCCATCTTGCTATATTTAAGTATCGTTTTTTTTCTTTCTCTTTCCTACTATTAAAAATATTTATTTATTCTGTCGTGGCACAAAAGCCTATTAAATGGAGGTTTATTCTCCGATTCATTAAACATGAGTTTCGACACGGGAGGGGTGTTTAATCCCCCCCTTTCCCCTCAAACGGAACAAGTGGAGGTGGTTTCTGCAACAGAAAGCCTCCTGAGTATCCAGAATTCGTTTTCTTCAAGTCAAGAAGACCTAAATCCAGAATCAAAGAGACAACGTCACAATCACAGTCACAATGACCAGCACTCTGACACACACATCCCAAAACAAACAGTTGATAAACAAAAAACGAAAACAACTACACCTCCTGGAGACAACCAAAGTGACACACAAACAAAATCTCCCCTTTACTATGACAATTCCTTGAAATCTAATTGCACTATCTTTATCCAACGCGATCCAAAATCACCTGATGCTAAAAAAGACCTAAATAACATGTCGATAGGTCGCATTTTACACTCCACTTTTCCGGGTAAGATTGTCGATATTAACCGTAGCGGTTTTGGTAAAGTTAGAGTCGTATTAAATTCAGGCAAAGCTGCCAATCAACTTCTTAAAGATAAATCGCTTTCAACAAAAGGACTAATTGCTATAGTCCCTGCTAACTTTGTGTCTTGCCAAGGTGTCATGAGTAATGTTCCTGTGGACATTACAATTGATGAAATCCTCGCAAATACTGAAATTGTAGGTCCTCATGTGAGAGACATAAAAATCATTAACGCCCGTCGTATGAACAGAAAAACGCTTGACGAAAAAGATAATTCTGTCAAATATGTACCAACCACAACCGTGCTCCTCACTTTTTCAGGCACAATTCTTCCGCAAAGAGTAGCGATTTACAAGGGATCAAGTCAGATTCGCCCTTATATCCCCGATCCACGCATGTGCTCAAAATGTAGCAGATTTGGACATATTGCCAAATTCTGCAGATCAAAACCTCGTTGTCAATCCTACACATTGGAGGTCATTCACGACATCAATAACATTTGCACAGGTCCTAAAGATACACCTGAGTGCCTTAATTGTCACGGAAAACATATGAGCTCCTCAAAAGAATGTCCAGAATTTATTTTTCAAAAGAAAGT